GCTCAGTGGCAAAAGCACCTGCCTGGCAAGTGTGAGGTCATGAGTTCAATCCCTGGTACCAAAAGACAAACTATGTATGTATATTTTGTATATATGTTTTCATTTTGGCTTAGTTACTTTTCTCATTGTTGACACAAAATACCCAACACCCAAAGTTAAAGTAGGAAAAATTTATTTGGCTTATAGTTCACAGAAGTTTCTTACCATTCACAGAGGTTTCAGTCCATAATCTGTTGGCTCCAAGGCAGGGCAGCACATGGCAGAGGGGCAACAGTTCATGGTGGGCAGAAGGTAGCAAAGCTCAAAAGATGACCACAGCTCCTTCCGTCCCTTCACTCTTATCCAGGCCACTTAGGCTGGATAGCATTGATATCCTTAATCCTAGTGCTGTGAGCCTAGCATTGTACCATGAATCAATCCCAGTGTCACACACACTAAGCCCAGCCACCTCTGACCTCATGAAGCTTTGGGGGAGGGTCTAAACACAAGCCATAACACACTTACATTAATATCAATGTTTATTAACAATTAGTAATGTTTAACGGCTATGTCAGTATACTGTCTGTAAAGATATCTTTTTAATTTTATTTATTTTTTTGATGCTGGAGATCCAACCTGTGACTTCTCTCATGCTAAGCGTGCACTCTACCTCTGGGCTACACTCCCACCCTGAGTTGGCTTGCTTCTTTTTTATTTGGTTGGGGTTTTTTTTTTTGTTTTGTTTTGTTTTGTTTTGATTTGAGACAGAGTCTTGCTATGTTGTTCACACAGACCTTAGTTTGCAAAGTGGCCAAGTCTGGCCTGGAAATTGAACTGATCCTCCTGAGTGTGATCCTCCTGAGTGCTGGATTATAGCTGTGTGCCACTACACCTGGCTTCCAGCCTGGAAACAGCAATTATGCTGATAAGTAGTATTTTGCCATGTGGATCTGCCATAATTCACAAAATATTGGCAATTTCTGTTTCTGCTTTACAGGTAGATATGATAAAAGATATAATGCCCTGGAGATTGACTCCTCTTCCCCACACAGCTTCCTGTCTCCCAAGGAAGGCAGTTGAAATTCTCTAGCCATTCTTGGACAAGAGGAGACAGCTGGGGAAATGATTAACCTATGTGTCATCTCCTTTGTGTCCATCTTCTCCCAATTCCTTCTCCCCACATCAGATCCACCGAGTAAGTATCAACTCACAGGCCAATTCCTGGAACTGCTGTCTCTGTTCAGGAAGTCCCTGCTAGCTATAGAAGGCCTTCAAAATTTAAATTAGAGTGGAAAACCCCAAATGGCTATAGCCCAACCCCAGGAGTAGTTGGGATTGTGCAGGCAGACCCCGGGGATTCCAGATAGTGAACTATGCTGCATTGCATCACAGTCTTCACAAAAACAATTCACATGTCACAGCTGAAATTTTGGAACCTACTTCCTGTGTTTGGATGCCACCCATTGCCTTTTGGGTAATCTGACAGTATATGTACTTTTAGTAATGGTCTTGCATAATAGTAACTTTGAATGACAAGACACCACAAAAAGTGAGTGAAATCATCCCACATCTCACTCTGATTTCCACATACAGCAATAAAAAAACACAAAGGCTTCCCAATAATATTAAATTAAGGCTTACTGAGTCTTCTCTTAAGGTAGAATCTTAATTGAAATTCAATTGAAGAAGTGCTTTTCATTTGTTTGTTTTTGGTTTGGGTTTTTTTTTATGAAAAGAGTAATATAAAAACACTAGAGTATTATATTTTAGCTTTCATTTCTGGTTGCCTGCCTTAATAATAACACTTTCAGCAGGCTGTTGTTTTCTTTTGGTGCTGGTGATTCATACCGATTTATGATAGTAAATAATATGGCTTATAGTAAGAGAAAACAAAAACAAAACCATAGGAACAAGAGGCCTAAACCGCTAAGTATTCAAAGCCTTTCCATCTTTCCGATGTTTCCTTCTTTCTTCTTAGTTAACTTTGCTACTGCAGCATTTCTGGAGCTATAATGGCTTTGGCACCTGAGAGAACAACAGCCACACAGATCAAATGTGCAGGGGTGTGGCTGTGGGGGCTGCAGAGAGAGTACAGCTCATCACAGCCCTTCCCTTCTTAAGGTCCTGCTCCCTTGCTGTTCCTTCTCCAGTCAATGCCACCTGTCAGATCCCCCGGGGAATGCTGATGGCTTGGGTTCTCCAATCCTTGACAACACAAGCAACCCAAATTAGGTGCTGAGCCAAGACAAGTGAGACAAATGCATGGTTCCATCATCACACAAGCACCAAAGAAAAACATCCATCAAGTTGTTAGGTTGCTAAACCTACCTACACAGTATTTAGCCCTCCAATTTGCATATTATGTTTAACCTAGCCTAATTTCCCAGTGAAATATTTATAAGTGCCGCTTTACACAAACATTTCCTGGATGGGGTAGCTATCTACAAGTTTGTTATGAGAGATGAAAATTTCCCTTTCCATTGATTCACCAAAACTCTGCCTTAGGTGCAATGAGCAAGGGGGAAAATTAGGCTCTAGAAGCAAGTTACCCTCAGATCCTGCCTTCAAAGAGTTCCTTGGGCTGTGATTGTAGCTGAGTAGTAGACACCTATGGAGCATGTACCAGGCCTAGGGTTCCATCCCAGCACTGAAGGAAAAAAAAAAAGTAACAAAGGGTTTCTTGTCTCCAACAAGTAAGCAAGTAATGTTTCTTTATAGCTACTGTGTATAATTTGAGAATCAGATTCCTTGTGATTCTAGAAAGCATGTACCACAAGCATTCTCCACTGAACACAAAGATAATTCAAAAGGTTCAGGCAAAATTATTTAATGTTGCATTTGTGAACAGCACTACATTAAACGTCATCCAAAGCAAGTCATCTCACCCCAGTTCTGTCCCTTAAAAGCTGCAAGTCTCCTCCTTGTCACCTGAAATTTCATGTCCCTGCCTGTGGCCTGGTCTGCCCCTCTTAGGGATGACATTGGCCTCTCTCTTATGTGAAACCTTGCCTGACAATGCTCGCAGGTATCCATTTCCTCTTCCTGCAGGCTCATTCAGCACTTTGTCATCACTAAATTTGGTTTCTCAGCATTTGCAGCAAGCCCTACTGTCTTGATTTATTAATAGACAATTAAGCATAATAGAGCTATTATGAAACAACTACAGTGCTATGGAAGCACTAAAGTGGAAGGATTAATTTCAACTAGGAGGCTCAGAAAGAGATGATATTGGAGCTGTTTTCAAGGTTAAGATCAGGTAAGGATTTATGTACAGTAGTGATGAGAAACAATAATCAATGCTAACCTTTCAAGCCTGCATCAGTGAAAATCTGTTAAATAAATGAACTTCTAACTACATTAATGGAAAGACACAAACGCCATTTCCAATATAACACAGTCACACTTCGGTACTCAACTGTTTTAAAACAGGTTGAATTTAGTACTCAGCAAGCTTCCATGGGAAAATTTTGTCCCAGTACTTGTCCTGTGTCTGGCATTCAGGGTTCAAGGTAGAACTCGATGTCAGTTGCCTTGCCATTAACCTTTCCAGCAAGCACAATTTGTACTGAGGTACACTGTACAAGAAATGAAGCAACTTATGGAATAGGGGAAGATGATGAAGTTGGTTTTAGACACTTTGAAAATGATACCTGTGAACAAATCATGCAGACATGTTCTTTTCTAAGGTCCTAGAAGAATTTATGGGTTATTGGCAAACACGCTATATTTTATCTCATGATGTATGTCTCACAAATGGCTTTCATGGCCATTATCTATTGGTGATTTTGATTCTAACCAACATCCTATAAGTGACATTTGTGTCAGTGCATGCCTATTAACAAAAAAAAAAAAAAAAGAAAGAAAGAAAAAAAAAAGAAATTCTGAGGTTCAGGGAGGTCAAGTTACTTGATTAAGTAGAAGAGCTGCAGGTCAAGCCCATGTCTTGTCATCACAAATTTAGGGTTTTTTTAATCATCCCACTAAGAGTGGTGATGGTTGGTAGCCAGGAACAGCTATCATTTTGGACAACAATATGAAGTAAGCTACAAAGAACAAAAGGAGTTCTGGGCAACATTACCTTTAAAGGAAGAAGGAAGAAGAGGCCCAAATGCAACTGAGCACGTGATGTGACACACAGAGACAGACAATGGTTTGAGTCCCTTATCTTCCCTCCCAAGGATATAGTAGGTCTCCAGTATACTTGCAGTAATAACAAATCACACCCTCGCCCCATGGCTCAGTTCAGTTAAAGGCCGTTAAATGGACAGCAAGTTTTCAGACATACTCGGAAAGGCCAGTCTCCTGAGGTGGGCCAAGTGCCCAGCAAAGAAAGGCCATAAAACAATGAAAACGGCCAACAGATTTCCATGCTAGAAGGCAAGTGTACTGGAACAATGGAAGGGATAGCAAGAAACAAAGAGGTGGCCTCAAAGAAGACGGTGCAATTGGGGGCATGATTCTGCTCGCCAAGGCTGGACTCCTCCTGAGGAATCCCGGGACAGCATGGGAGGCCAGTTCAGTGTGTTAGGGGTGGCGCCCTTCTCAATGACAGGCGGTGTGAGAGGCTCAATCTAAGGTCCCAAAGGCCTGACAGGTGAAGGCCAGAGATGAAGGAGCTCATTTCTGGGGTTCTTCGGAAGGCGGCTGGCAGCGCGCCATGTCCCTCCCCCGGTGCGGGGTGCTGCATTTGAGTCTCACGCGCTCCCCTTGCCCTCGGCGCTGGGAAGCAGCGGTTCCCAGGGCCCCCTCCTTTCCCCGGACCCACTAAGTCTCCGGGGCTCCTCCACGCCACTCCTACTCTATTCCATCCTCTCTGGGGAGCAGAAGAGGGCGCCGAGCCCGCACGCCCTGCGCCCCCACCTCGCGGCTGCCCCCGCGCGCCGAGCCCCTCTGCTCCGAGCTCGCGGGCACACGGGCGCAGGCGGCTCGCGGGTAGCGGAGAGCAGCAGCCCGAGCAGAGGGCGCAGCGTAACGGTCCCGCGGCCGCGCCCGCCCCGTGCGTCATGACGCCGGCGCCCAACGCGGAAGCCGCTCGCGGCGCGTCTGGTCCAGCCGCGGGCTGAGCGCGGAGCGACGGCGGGAGCGGGAGCCGGGCCGGGCGCGAGCTCAGGGAGCGCAGCCTGCATCCCCAGCCCGGCCGAGCGCGCAGGCAACGACAGCGAGCGGAGCTGGGCACGGCGCGCCGGGGCTGGGGCCGCCGCCGAGGGGATGCGACTGCTGGCCCGGGCCGGGGTGTAGAGAGGGCGGGTCCCCGGCCTTGGGAGCGCGGCGCTGGGGAGGACGGCGGCGGCGGCGGCGGCGGCCATGGCGACCCCCGGCAACCTGGGGTCCTCCGTCCTGGCGAGCAAGACCAAAACCAAGAAGAAGCACTTCGTAGCGCAGAAAGTGAAGCTCTTCCGGGCCAGCGACCCGCTGCTGAGCGTTCTGATGTGGGGGGTCAACCACTCGGTAAGGCTGGGCTGCGGCGCGCGGTCCCCTTCCTCCTCCTTGTCCTCCTCCTCCTCGTCCTCCTCGCTCCCGTCGGCTTCGGGTACAGCTGAGCGGGGCTGGTGCCGAGCCAGATGGTCCGCGGGTCCTGGCCCACGGGCTGCCCTCCTGCCCCAGTGCCCGTGGCCCCACGAAGTGCGCCCGCGCTTGCTGGCGCGCCTCTCGCGCCCCCTGCGGACCCCTGGCCGGACCCGGCTGTGGGATCCGCTCCGCGTCCGAGCCCTGAGCCCTGCGCCCTGCGCCTTCGAGTGCCTTTTCCGCTCACCCGCACGGTCGCCCGCGGGTCGGTCCCTGTAGTCTAGAAAGTGGGAAGTTTGTGGGGGGTACGGTTCCGCCTCGGCTGTCACCGCCGCCGGATCCGGGCACCGCAGCCGAGGTGAGGGGCGACAGTGGCCTCGGCCGTGGCCAGGGAAACCTGGCCAGGGCGGGGAGCAGCGGGCAGAGCCTGCAGCGGGAGGACGGGGCGAGGCCCCTAAAGACCCAGGAGGTTTGAAATAGCAGTTTTAGTGCTTAGGTCCCTTTTTCCTTTAAAGGCAGTATTGGACATGAGGAGGGGTTTTGGCGAGAAGCAGCCAGCGTGACTGTGGCACTGGCGAGGAGCATCCTCTGCGCTGCTCCTGCATCGTGCTGCCGCTGTCCCCGCCGAAGGGCCCCTGGCGGGGACCCCCCCATCCCCCCGCCAAGCTGAAGTCGCCGCTGCGGAAGGGCGGCCTCGGAGGTGACAGTGGGGCGGTGGGGGGGAGGCGTTCCGCAGGGCGCCCGGGGTAGGTGGGCGGTAGCTGAGGGGCCTGACTTGGTGTGGGGCGGTTTGTTTAAAAGGCCAGAGAGCGGCATTTTGGAAAGGTTAGGTTCACACCCCCCCGCCGGAGGTGGCGATGGACACGCCGCTGCGGGCTATGCGGATTGCGGTTCGAAGATCCGAAATAGCCTCCTGCTGGTTTTACTGCGAGAAACTCGGCAGCTTTCAGCTCCCTGGAGAGGATGGGGAAACCCGATAAGAAATGCTGGCTGAGCTAGGAAAGTTTAAATGAGCTGGTGAATTTTCACCGTGACCTTACCCACTGCAGACAGCGTCTGAGGAGTGTAAACCTGCCCTCTATGTTTGGAATTTCGGCGCCTGGGAGTCCTTTTCAAGCATCCTGCAAATGAGAGAAAACCATGCCCCCCCCCCCCCAGTGAATTAGCAAAGTTGTTTGAAACGAATCAAAAACATTGTTTTCTATTTTTCTTCCCCAAACTGAGGCGGAGAAAAGGAGAAAATGGTGTCAGGCTTGATTGTGTTTGCAATGGAGTGACTTTTAGAAAGTTGAGACATGATTATTTTTTCTCAGTTTATTGCCTTATCTATTGAAATCAACACAATGTAAGTTCCCGACAGCTTCCCCAAGTTTTGTTATAGAAAGTGAAGTGAAAATTTCCCCTTATGATAAACCTGCAATTTAGTTACAGCCTGTTTCCTTAAGCTTTTGTGTCATGTTGACAGTTGGGAGTCCCATATTTATCAGAGTAGGACCGTCCAATAAAAATTAAGAGACGCATACAGTAGTGCTTACTCATATTTATCTCCTCTTATCGGAGTTCCGGTGTTTTGGTCAGGGTTTGTGTCTCGGAGTTTAATTAGTAATGTCAGTATGCTGCTAAAAAAAGTGTGCTCTTCAGGAATTAGTCAGAATTCCATTTACTTTCTAAAAGCTTGTAATTAAAGTTTTTACTGTAAGTGTACATGTCACTACCTTATATTTATGAATCGCTACATTTGTTTTGAAAATATTTTGAAACTAACCAAGGCATATGGAAATAATGTATGATTAGTAGATAGTAAATTTAGTGTTGTTTTCTTTTGCTCTTGAGAAAAGTTAGCAATTCTGAGTACTTGCAGCCAGAAGGATTGACATTTCTATAGTGTATAATGTAAACATGTGATTCATTCAGCAAATATGAATTTGCACACATAAGAGTGCCACCCACTGTGGTAAAGGTTGCTAAAATGCCTCTCTGTTTCTGTCCAGTATCTTTTTTTCTTCATGGCTCTAAGTTTGTAAGAAAGGTCTGTTTCACATCTTTAATTTCCAAGTTGTCTATTTTCTTTAACGAATTATTTTCGAAAAAAGAATGTTGTTGTACATAAAGAGAAAATCTAAACACTTGGATGTCATGTATTTCTGGTTGGTTTCATTTAGTTGAAGTAACTGATATCAGATAGATGTTTTATGATGCCCTTCCATGCATCACACTTCATAGTAGCACGTGAGAATAAATATGTGTGCAGTGTTAAGAATGAGCAAGCCTGCTGTTGTGTATGGGTGGGAACATTAGAATCAGCACAGCAAACAACAGATAATTCAAGTCACCCCTTTCCTTGTGTTTCTAATGTGATTATGCTTAATGGGAAAAAAACCCTAAACTTAACAGTTTTGTCCTTTAAAAGAACTTTCTACTTTAATATGCATAGAATATTTAGAAATAAGCATAAATTTGGAGCACTGAAGGGAAACTGTAGACATCCTATGAGAGTACTGGGAATCTCCTCTATGTTTTGGTTAAAAAGTTAATCAGATCTGTGTTCTAATTCTTCAATTGTATCTGTTGGCCTTGGTCTGTTAACCAGTTCTAGTGTTTGTGTATGTGAAGTGAGGTTGTTGGAATGGATAATTTACAAGTTGTTTTCTGACTTCAACTTTTACAGTAGGTGCTTAATGTGATATTAAGTGCCATAAAATAGAAATAGTATATAATAAATGTTGCATTGCAATAATAACCTTTAAATCCTGCAATATTGAGGGAATTTTCAGAGCCCTGTCTATAGAAGAAAATCTGTGGTGATTTTTAGAGAGTGAAGTACGTTTGCTAGGTTGAGTGTAGTAGCTGAACTGCATTGCAGTCTATTAAGTCAAAGTCTGTTTGACTGAAATGTAAAAAATTGCAATTAAGGTGAAAATGTTCAAGTCCATTGTAGCAGTAATAAAAATCTTGATTTGGGCAGTGCTCTGTGTCAAGAATAAGCTTGCTATTGTGTATCCAATTTGATATGTTACTGCTTTCTAACTTAAAACACCCATCAGTGAATGGATCAGTGCCAATTTTTATTTTAAGGATTTTAGGCAGAGAATATAATTGAATACATAAAGGAAAAGATGACTTAAGAAGGCATTTTTATCTTGTTACATTTAGAATTAAGCTAAAAATGATCAGGCAGTTAACTTCTTAAAATGATATTTTAATAGTATATGGAGTATGTTGAATGATATGAGCTAAGGTTTGTTTTAAATAGATACTGTAAAAGATTTTTATTCACTGTGAAATGTAAGCCTTTTAGAAATTAGTATTTAAAACCCTATGTAAGTATACAAAGGAAGACATTCATTATCTAATATATAGAGATATTGTGAAGGACATGAAGCTTATTTAAAACAAACACAGTACTTAAAGTAGCCAAGTTATTGATGAGTTTTTGTTTGGTTTTGGATGGTTTCAAAGTTAGTAACACAAATGAGTTTCAGCAAAACTTTTAGGTCCTAGGAGTTCTGGGGTCTTATCATAGTGGAAGAAAGGATGGGCAGCCAAACAAACGATGAGAGGAGCCAGGTAGTAAGTGCTGTTGGGACTTTCCTATCTGTTTTTGATTTATTCTTGTTCATAGCTGCCTGGTTTCCTCCACGGCGCAGGGAACTTAGTGGTTTCTGAATTTTGCATTTTGTCATTTCTGCTCCTTCAAAAGGACTTTCTGCATATGATCCGGTTATAAAAATCTCAAGTCAGGAATCTGATTGGTCTGGCCTCAGTGGGTTGTCGTCTCCCCGGGGATTGGGCAGTTATGGGAACATGGCAGTGTCTGTCTGGGGGAGTTGGAGAAGGGGTCCCAGCAACAGCCTGAGCAGACACCCACTTCACGGTGGAGCTGGCATTAATGTTGATTCCTGTGGGCCCTGCCTTTGGAGACCTGTGAGTGCCATGCATACAATAGTGTGCCATGTTCTCTGTGAACGTGAGACTGCCCAGTTTTCCAGGTAGAGCATCCACATCTCATTGTGTGTTTTCAGCAGGGTCAGAGAGACGATACTGTACTGGAGAATGAGTGATCTCCTTTAGGTTCCGGGATTTATATTTGAGCACTGAAAAAAGGAATAAGGAAACTAGGTTAAAAATTGTGTGAATAATTATGAAATGATCTGTACTGAATAACATAATGGAGCAATTAAATTAAAATAACATGGAGCAAGGTATTAGGTGAAACTCACTGAGTATAGTCCAGCCAACTGTTCATTCAGGAACTGATCTTGTATTATTTTTTTTTTCCCTTTACTTTGCAGAGGAAGGAGGCATGTCAAGAAAGACACACATGCTGGTTATGGTGGTGCATGCTTGCAGTCCCAGTGCTAGGGAGGCTGAGGTGGGAGGATCACTACAAGTTCAAGGCTAACCTCAGCTACATAGTGAGTTCAAGGCCTGCCTGAACTGCATAGCGAAACTTTGTCTCAAAAACTCGAAAGAAAGAAAGAAAGACAAACAGATTAGAAGTTTATTATTAGGGAAGTTGTTTTATCTTTTCTAAAACATGGGATTGTGTATTGAGAATGCATTTTCTTCCTATCAAATACCTTAACATGAACTTTAGTTTTCAGAATGCTTCCCCTGGCAGTATGATCTGCTATCCCTTTAGAAAGACTGTCAGCAAGAATTGTAATGAACCAATGAAATCTATATTCAGCCAGAGCATCAGTTCTGCAACTATATACTTCAGTTTTGTTTTTTTTTTTTTTCGACACAGGGTCTTGCTATGTAGTCCAAGCTCATTTTGAACCCACTGTATAGCCCAACGTAGCCTAAAACTCATGGCAGTCCTCCTGCCTCAGCCTCCGAGTGCTGGGATTATAGGTGTGTGCCACCATGCCTGGTTATACTTTGAAATAGAGCTTTTGGAATTGAAAAGAATTCAGGTTACTAGGCAGGATTGTTTGTGGTCTCACAGATTAGGTTCAAATTCTGGCTCCATCACTTCTGAGCTCTTTGAGCAGGTTATGTAGCTTTTTAAGCCTGAATTTATGTAATTTTTAAATGGTGATATCGATGCTTACCACATAGGGTTATTCTGAGGGTTAAATGAGATAACATATTTAAAGGTTCGAACTGTAATTGACACATAATAATTCAGTAAACCATTCCTAAAATGATAAAAATTTGACTGTAGTTAGAGCACTAGATCAGTGTGTCTCCCAAGTGTCGGAGATGTAAGTCACTTGCAGACAAGCTTCCTGCTCAGTAGGTCTGTTGGGGGTGAGGCCTGAGATGTGCGTTTTAACGTGGACTCAAGCTTTGCTGACGCTGCTCGTCCAGGAGCAAGGCAGTAGGAGGAGCAGCTTTGCAAGTTAGGATGAATACTGAGAAGTTGTCCCCTGATTATATGTGATGAGAATGGTGACCCCAGAACAGAATTAGGAAAGTGAGAGTGAGGGTTGTACATTGGAAAAGAGTAAAGTAGTTTTGAGGAAATGTTGACTTGAAGGTGGTGCTGGTGGATAGTCCAACCGCAGTGTGTCCCTTAAGTCAGCAAGGTGGGATTAGAGCTCGAGAGCAGGATTGAGGCTGGGCAGGGAACTGGCACCTACAGCCATAGAGGTGAGATTCCTGAGGGGAATGTGGAAATAGTGAAGACTCTTGGCGTTGAGGGAAAGACAGAGGAAGAACAGGCAGCAGGAGACAGCTCAGCAAAGAGGCTGGAGAGTCAGATGTGCTAGAGAGCTTGACGTTGGGGATGTGCTTTTCCAGAGCAGTTGATTCAAGCCTGAAGGTTTAAGGAGTGAATGCGTGACTTAGAGGCAGCATCTCTTTATTGGAAGGTTTAGAAGTGGGAATTGAAAGGTGCCATTTAGCTTAGGAATGTCTAGGGATTTTTCCTTGTCTTGACCTCTTCCTTATTCATACCTCCATTTATCCTAGCCAGGTTTATTATTTCTGTCTTTTCCTAGACTGTTAGTATAACCTCCTAGCTAAATTCCATGTTTGTTTTATGTACTTTTTTTTTTTTTTTTTGGTGTCACTGAGCCCTATGATAGTTGATTACAAACCATCAACCCATTTATGCTTTTAAGCAAGTAAGTGAAAATACAGAAGATGCCTCTTGTCAAGTTCGCAGATTATTCGAATTCCATATGTGGACCACTTGGGAATGTAGAACCCAGTTAAGAACCTTTAGAAGAATATGGTGCTTTAGAAAGGATATTACTGTGGAGGCTTACTCTGGGAGTTAAGTAAGTTTGTGCAGATGATGCTGTAATTACAAAGAGGTTACATACTGAGGTTACATACCCACCCTTATCACACCTAACTTACCAAGCATCATAGCTTAGCCTTGCTGACTTTAAACGTGCTCAGAGCTGGGCATGTGGTACATGCTTGTAATCAAAGCCAAGTGTAACCATAACCCAAGTGTTATGGAGATACTTTTATGCACAAATAACTTGAGTATCAAGAATGCTATGGCTGGGGGCATTAACTAGGAAGATGTTGGGCTGAGGATGTGGCTCCGTGGTAGATGCTAGCTCGGTCAGAGTCCTGGATTCCGTCCCTAGCATTGCAAGGGGAAAAGGAGATACTGAGCAAAGCCATGAAAGAGGCAAAGGGCTTAGATAGGAAAGTGCCCAGGGGACAAACATTGCAGGTCAAGGGACCCACTGGTGCCAAGTCCTGACTTCCATAAACTGCAAGGAATCTGTGTGGCCGAAGCAGAGTGAGAGAGGAGCCTGGAATGGTAGCAAAGGAAGACAAAGATGGTAACAGGAGCGCGGGTACCATTGCTTCTGCTTGGGGGACTTTGAGAAGACTCGGGGAAGTGATGTCAAGGGCCTTGAAAAGTAGGCAGGATCTCCCTGCTGCAGAAGACAGGAAACAGTGTCTGGGCCTAGGGGCTCAGCCACTGACAAAAGTAAACGGAGCAGAGCAACTGTTCTGCTGTGGCCTTACTGCTCACCGTGGTTTCCTGAACAGTGGCATCAGCCACCACCCAGGAAGCTGTTAGCAGTGCGGAGTCTTGGGCTTCCCTGCAGGCCTGCTGGAGCAAGCTATGCTTTTTACTAGAGAGGCGATTTGTGTGTTTGGAGAGGAATTGCTGGGGTAATCTTTGCTTTCCAGCTCCACATTCCTTGGTTGTGCCCCAGAGATTGGGGAGGGGGATTCTGAGCCACTGGGGCACATTAGCTCTTACTTAGCGTCATCCAGAACAGCCTGTTTTTATCTTCCTTGTTTTCATGAGGGCACTGGATATAATTGGTAGGAGAAAAAAAGGTTCTGTTGCCAAGAAGATTGCAAACCACAGAAGTAAGTTGTGGGGCATATTAAGATGTGATTGAAATAGTTTGATGCCATATTTAAAGTACTAAGCAGTTGATGACAAAAAACAAACAGTTCTGAAGAGGGACACTATAACTTACCCTAACTCTCTTTCTAAAGTTAATATGTTTGCAGTACAGTTGCATTCCTCTTGGGGAATTGGTACATACACATACAACATTTTAATCATTTTTTTCTTTCCCTTCCCTTCCCCACCCTCCATCTCCCATCACCCCCATGTCCTTCCCATCTCCTCCACTCTAAACAGCAAATGGCACCATGACCCAGGAGTGCCCTAGTGTGCTCCGTAGTCTCCGAAGTACTTTCTTGCCTTTCCCTTTTGTGTTGGACTTCTCTCTAGTGTCTTGTCCCCTTGTCTCCTCCCAGCTGATCTCCTGGGTTAGAAAACATTGTACAAGTGAAGGCCACTGACATCGAGCCTGCACTCCTACCATCCAACCTGTTGACTTTTGGACTGCTGACCCTTCAGTCTGCCAGCGTGCCAAAGGGCTGCAGTCCCCAGGTTGGTCAGCCCTAGCCATGCTCTCAATTAGGAAAATTTAAATTCAGCATCTTATATCAAGTCATACGTGATTCGTGGCTCTGAATTGGACTGTGTGGTCACGGGCCTTGCCCATCCTTGCAGCACCTTCCACTGGGCAGTGCTTGCTGGGCTAGGACTTCCCATCCCAAAAACAAAATAAACTGCAGTCACAACAAAAGTGTCCCTCTGCTCTCCTGGGTCTCACCACGGCTACCAAGCAGCTTCCCTGCTCCCTCCCAAGTTTGTCTCCTGTGATCTGCAGCTGCCCACTTACCTCTGCCCTTTGTTAGACACTGCTGTCCTCGGTTTCAGCTGTGGTGCCCTCTTCTGCTTCACTGGCATTTGTTTTTTGGAACCCTGTTGATTTAGCCTTTGAATGTTTCAGTGCGCTCTTTCCCACTGGTAGGCATCTCAGAGGTCCCAGACAGGACTCATGATCATCTCCTACTCCACTCTATCCACTGCCATGCCCAAAACTAGTATTTTCCTCCTCTCAGAAAGTAGGTCACTGCCCCTACACAGGGGCTTAAGCCAAGAGCCCAGGCTAGTGGTGGGGAACCTGTGGCCCTCATGCTGCAGACCACTTGTTATCACTGAAAGCTCTAAAAGGTCCACCACCACTGGTGTAGGCCTTAACCTGGATTCCTCTTTTGTTCGTTGCTTCTTCTCACCCAGGTCTGAGTCTTGCATCTGAATAGTCTCCCTGCTTAAGTCCTCTTCTCTTGAGCCCTGTATTCCTGTAGCATTGCTCCCCCTAGATTAACCCTTGCCTCACTTCAGTCCAAATTGTCCATAACAGTTACAGAGCAACTATTCTAAAAGGTGTGTAACATTGTGTCACTTTCTCAGTTAAACTTCATGGCTTCTTCCCCTTGCATTTGGAATAAAATCGGGCTCTTCTTTCTGGCTTACAAGATCTTACTGCTCCGGCCCTGCTCCCCTCTGTGCTCTCACTGGCACACTCTCCCTGCCCCCACCGCCATTCCTCCCCCACCAGCCACAGTGGAATAGCCACGCCTGTCTTTTTCTAGTCCTTAAACAAAACAAGCTCAGAGCAGCCCGGAGTGCCTACATTTATTTTCCCTTGGTCTGTATCTAGAACCTTCTTCCCTCAGATCTTTGAGTCAGCCTTAGTCATATTAGTGTCTTAGTTAAAGGATTGCTTTCTCCGGTGACCTCTGACTTCCTAATCTAAGGCAGGCCCCTACTATGTTAGTCTTTTATTTTTTCCGAGACAGTCTACTTGAGCTGTTTGAGTGTTTCTTAATTATCTCCCCCAACTAGAACATGAAATCCACAGTGATCCAGAATTCATAATGTTTACTAGCTGTATTCTCACACCTAAAGCAGTGCTTTTATTAGAGTGGTGCTCAACAAATACCATATTAATGAACGAGTAGAACTGGAACCCTGTACAGTAGGCCTTTGGTGCTCTGCCACTGCACCATGAGCCCTTCCAGATTAAGTTTTCATCATCATGTAGTTTATTTTTGTTACCATCAAGCACTGTATTTAGAGATTTTTTTTTTTTTTTTTGCCAGTGCTTGTGGAGTACGTTAGAAAGTGGGGAAAACTTGCTGCAAGGTGATGATAAGAGGTGTGTGGTACCCGCCGCCTGTGTCAAGGAAAGAGCCTCTGTTTCCAGAGCAAGTGGGAACTCTGCCTGGAGGTGAAGCAGGTTCAGAGAGCAAACAGCTTCCCTCCACCACGTCCCAGTGCCAAAGACTCACTGAGTGACTTGTGTGAAGACCAGGGATGCAGTCACGTGGAATGAGTGTCCTGCAGTGCTTTTACTGACTTGTTCCTTGTAGTTCAGTCCTTTAATGGAACCAGGCTTGCCTTTAAAATTCTGGTGTTCAGAAGTCTGCCACAAGTTAAGTAAGAGTCTCTAGACATGATTAAGAATTGTAACAATCCTGATTTCTCCAATCTTCACTTTTTCTTTGATGCTTTATTTCTGCTGGATCTTTCTGGTGATGCTTCATTGCTGTGTGTGTTTGGTTTGTTTGGCCAAGAGCTATCCCTTTCCCGTGGCCAATAAGGATTCTTTGAGTCACGGGGTGAAAGTATGACCTTCCAGAGAGAGTTGTTTATCTTTTCCAGTGTTTAGGGGCACTTGGACTGGCCATCTCCAACTAAATTCACAGCTGGGAATTCTGTGGGCTACTTTGTGATACAAATTTGGGCTGCAGTCTCATCAGAGTGGAATGGGTTGATATTTTTGGTGACCCTTAGCCCGAGGGCTTGGCCCTTTTCATTGTAGCCTGATGGAAAAAGGGTTTTCTGTTGAAGCCCCCCTTGGGGTGGACCCTGGGCTCCGACTTCCATCCTTTTCAACCCACTGGGTCAGTAAAGCTCTTAGAGCTGATGGTGTCTGTCACTGACTTACTGCTTTATGTCCAGCTTGCACTTTGATTTGGCAGGGCACTTCTCTCCTACTTCGTTAGAACTTTGCTGCCTGTAAGAACATGTTCTAAAAAGTGTCTTTGAATTCAGAATGTGTACTTCTTTTCAAAGGCACAGTTGATGTAATAATCCTATCAGCAGAATTAGAAATCAGTACCACAGTTTCTTTTTCTGGTGCTGGGGATGGAACTCCGGGCCTTGGATATATTTGGCAGATACTCTACCCCTGAGCAGCACCCCCATATAGCACCAGAGTTTCTTAAGAGAGTAGATGACAGGCTGTAAGAAAGAAGGTGAAAGGTCAGAGCCCTGGGGCAATTCCAGCACCTTTCCCAGGAGTCAGCAGGACCAGAGGAGGAACTAGAGGAAGGAAAGAAACCTCTCTGTCAAGTAGGTGCCAGGCAGTGGGAACCTGAGTTTGTTTTTCCTGGCACATTTGTGCAGGTAGACCTTACATGGCTTCTGCAATTTACCTGTCCCTAGATCTAAATGCATTCATGTTGTAATGGTCACTGTGAATCCTAATTTCAGAGTGAGACAAGTCAGCTGCCATCATGCAGACCTGTAATCCTGGCTACTAAGAAGGCTGAGGCAGGAGGATTGCAGGTTCAAGTTTAGCTGAGCAACATGGAGAGAGTCTGTTTCAGCAATGAAGCGGAGAGGGTAGGGAGAGAAAGAGTTGGTGACCATCCAGGTTCAGCAGCCAATTATGGCTAAAAGCCAGGTTTCCTGTAGCACAGATGTGGCTGCCATGCACTACCAGAATGAGAGCGATGGCCATGGAGTCCTAGGGAGCAGGCCACCACTACCTCCTTTGCAGACAAACGTTGCTGCCCGGCAAAGGATCTGAGCAACAGAGGATCTGTGAGCAATCTAGGGGGAGACAGTTGAGTTTGAATGGGGCCATGTAATTCTTTAGGCATTGGGTGGTCTTTACGCTGGTGAAGAAGCTGCAAAAAGTAGGGTAGCCACAGGATAAGCAGCCTCTGCAAAAGCACAGCCCCTTAGAGGGCACGTGGCATTGTCAGGAGATTGGTGGATCTTCTTCAGGAGCCAGTCTGCTTCCGTTCTTTTACTTTTATCGTTTTATTGTTTTATGCATTTCCATTCTTAAGGACATATTTGGGTTTAAATTGCTTCTGTTTACACTGTCTCTGGAGACACAACCATTTAGTATTAGAATCATATCTGAGAGTTGCTGGATAATCTGATCTGTGCAGTTTGGTGTTACTCGTAATTCTAATAAACCTGCTTTTTTTTTTTTTTTTTTTTTTTTTTTTTTGTGGAAGGTGTTCAGTAGGAGGCAACCCATGAATGATGTCTGCAGCACGCCCTGCATAAAGGCCTTGGCTGTGGGGAAGACCCCCGGGGAGCTAAATCTCAGCTGTCGCCTGCATCATGGGAAGGGGCTGCATTCACCAAAGGAGGCCCCCTTTGCCCCTGCCCACACAGAGCTGGTGCCTCCTGTGGTATTCACAGAGCTGCCCTGTGTGCTGGCAGCCCGCATCACCTGCTTTTCTCAGGTCACTCGCCCAGTGTTTCTCAGGCCAAATTCTCAAGCGTAGATATTTTTTAGGAAGTTCTCAGGAGGTGCTTGGGCCAGAAAGAAAGTGAGATTTATAAAGTCCTCTTGCAGATTTGAATCTGCTTTAGAAAATGCATGCTAATGCAGTCTTTTTCTGCTGTACACCTATTTCTGCTTTAAAATCAGTTTGTGTAAGACAGGCAAGAGGGAATGTAATACCAGATGCGGGAATCAGTCAATACACAGCCTTCCGTGAGTTCCTGGCAGGTGGGTACCCACCGGTAGGGGCAGCTATAGAATTCAGGGGCTCAGTTATTCCATGTGTTACTTCCATCAAGCAGTCTTCTTTTGTTTTTAAAGCAGGTTGATACCAGTTTTTACAGTCAGCTGTGGTCCATGTGACTCAAGTTGTATTCAGTCCAAAGCGTTTCATGGCAGGCAGAATTCTTTTAACATAAGTATAGTCAGGAATTTGTAGTTGCTTGTCTCGTCAGACTACTTGATCTATGGATCATTCAGATGAATCTACTCTGCTCCGGAGATATATGGTGTTATCTACTGGGTCCATAATGACCGTGTATGTATTTGCTTTTCAAAGGTTGGATGTTATCATTCTGTGCTTGTGCAGGTTGGCTTGGAGCTTGATTCTGTAGCTACTGTGTCATTTTTGTCCCTCAGCCCTGCTCATTTCAGCTTAGACAGCCATGCAGGGGAGTAAATATTTGACCAGGGAATGGGGTACCCATGTCTCTTTCTGTGTAGGTGGTAGATAACTGGGAAGAAAAAAAAATGGTGTACTTTTAATATTCAGCTCTTGCACCATAGAAAAAGTATTTTTTTTTTTTCTAAAGAAGTGAAACTCCTGAGAATCTTGAAGGAACAAAAGCAGAGCTCTGGGAAAGAAAGGAAAGGTCATGCTTATAAACCAAAGCTACCCAGAGCAACTTCCACTTATGTGGATGTGCTTTATTGTGACAGTGGCGACCATAGCTGACAGTTTTACGGGACCTACGTTACTATTTGACATGGATATAGACTTTATAAAGTTAACCCTTAGATAAAAATGTGTTTTAAAACTGGACCTTAAGTGACTTAGTTTTCAAAGCTTGAATTCAATAGAAAATTAAAGACCTTTTAGAAAAAATGATAATGTATACTTAACTTGGATGATTATCTGAGAATTATTTCTTATTCTATTATTACAGTACGTAAAAGTATTAAATGTTTGGCAGAAAAACAGCATTCCAAATAGGCTTTGGTGAAGTAGATAATGTTTCACCATAAATGACCTACATGTAATTTTTTTATTAATTTCAAATTAAAACATGGATATATCAATCTTTTATGTCCTTTTTAGATTTAAGAAAGTACTTTGTTTCCTTGTGAAATTTTTCTGCAAGGCTTCTAAGAATATTCTGTATAGAGAAGTATTTTCAGTAGGATTGTTTTCCAGTAGTACCTAGAATGACCAAATAATATTGTCATCAATTGATTGAAGTTCTTTTGCTCAGTTCAGATGGAAATCTCAAGTGGGCAAAATATAACTCCTTTAACAGCTCTGGGCTTTGATTGCCAGTAGCCTTTATTGTAGCTTCTAGCATCTCCTAGCCAATGCAGTCAGCTCTTCAGCTACCAAGCTTGTCTCCTTGCTGAGACAAAATGCCCAACACCCAAAATGAAGGAGGGAAAGATCTATTTAGCTTACAGTTTTTGGAGGTTTCAGTCCATAGTCATCTGGCTGCACAGCAGGGTGGCATGGCACTGGGACAACACTTTAAGACAGCAGCCAGACCCCCCACAAAAAAAGCCTCTTCTCCTCCCCTATATTTACACAGGCCACCCCTCCCCACCTGAACCCCTCCTTGCCTTTAGGGCAGGTACAGCACTCACAAAATCTCTTTGTCCTCCTATGCAAAGGAGGACCTCCTATGCAAAGTAACAACCCTTGGCTCCCTGCTAAGTTTCTGTTAAACTTCTAAACTTCTCAAAGTAGACACAATGTATCAACCATAACAGTTCATACCCACTTTGGCAACTTTCTGGAGCTCTTCCAACAGCTTTGCTGTCTCTCTGGGGTCTTCTGTAGGTTTCCCTGGTCACTGGCACCTGTCAAGGACATTTGATGTTGCTGGTCTCTGCAGCCAGTGTCTTTTGGTTGCTGCTGGTCTCCTGGGGCAGTCTCTGTGGGGGCTAGCATCCTCTAGTGTGTGGTAGTTCTTTTTAATGCCCACATTCCCTAGGATAAAATTTGCTAGTAGATTTACAGGACAACTCAAGCAAGGCTTTTTTGGGACCAGTGCAACATCAGGATGCAGGTAGCACCCCAAAAGGAGCCCTTCTTTTGCCACCCAAGGGCCGTGAGGGAGGAACCCAGGCCACATGCACAGTTTTGTGTACTACTTAAGAACTTTTCAAGTGATGACATTGTAGAGCTGTCTGGAGGTTACAGGGTAGAATGGCTGCAGGGCAGAGTCATCGGGATTGGTCTCAGATTCAAGCTGCTGCAGCCAAGGGAGATACCTCTTGGTGTGGCTGGGGGCACCTACGACAGCCACAGCCTTCATAGTGATAACTGTCTTGGCAGAATTTCAGGAGAAGCCTACTACTGACTGCTCCCTCATCTCTACGAAAATGGTGGGATGAATCGTGACTGCCGCTACTTTTAAAGTCTCCAAAAGGGCTAGCACATGTGGATCACAAACTTTCAGAGCTTTGAGACTTGGGGGCTGTCAGCACCTGTGTTCTTGGCTGCTTCTCAGAGAAGGGACAAGCAGTTCCTATAGTGTTGGGAATGGAGGTGGGGTGGTACAGGAAGAACCCTGCCAGTGCTGGGAGGACCCTGTGACTGTTCATCCCTGCCCCCCAGGAAGCCAGGGGAAGGGGCGTGGCAGCTGCCAGTCAGTTCATGCCCCTTTCTGGCTGAGGGAAACGGAAGAGTGGTGCTCTGTTTCTTGTTTTTATCTCATTATTTGAGAATAAGCTTACTTCCATTTCTGTACCTCCAACATGAGGGACGATTTAGGAACTCATTTCAGTTATTCTGATAGCATGTGGAATTGTCATAATGAGTTAAGCAAAATGCATACATTTACTTACAGTTGTTGGATACACCAAATGAGAAGCCCCTATGTCCCTCAGAAGCCCAAACCCAAACATGGGTCTTTTGTAATAATACAAGTTGGAAGTAATAAGAGTAAATGTTCTTGAGTGAGATATTTGGGTTAATGTGATGTATCTGCAGTACTGAAATGTTCCACATTCATTACACATGCTGATAGAAGTTGGTCTATTGATGTGGAGCAGCAGCAATTGATATGTTGAGTGAAACAGAGCCAATGTGTGTTGATTGCTTATATCTCTTGGGAAAGGGGAGAGATTATTAATGATTTTTTCACTTTCTACTTATATCTTTTTATAGGTTGATTTTTTAAAAAAATGTATGCAGTCCTATTAAAACAGGAAAAATGCATTCTAAAATGAGATGGGTACTGACAAGCAATATTTTATATCTTGAATTTAAAGATGAAATAATTCTATGTTTTGGTTGGTGAAATAGACATATTTGCTTGGTTATATTTATGGGATTATTTTTCTTTGGGTAGCCTTTCCTGGAAATCCTTTGAATAAAAGACATGGTATTGGAAGAAATGATTAATAAATTATTTTTAAAGTTGTCACTTGTTGCAAGTTTGGAGGAAACAAAAATAAATTGATAAAACGATAAACTAGTTTACCTGCAAGTATCTAAGTTTTTATTTTGTATCTCATAAGTGGATAAAGTTGAGCATGTGATCTCAGTATATAAATTTTTATTTATAAATTTCATCTGTGTACAATATCACATTTTATGTTTGTTTCATATTACACATAAATTTTCACAGAATGCATTAAAGATAAATACAGCTAAAAACTTTCTCTGGTTAATGATTATTGTTGGTTCTTATCCAGATGGTTATGTGGACTTCATTTTTTAAAATGTTGATGAATCCTTTGCAGCAAAACAATCTGGTGTTCTGGTCCTACATTCAACTTACTTTGCTGTTGTTTTTGATGTTTTTTGTTTTTCAAAGCCAAGGCCTTGAGTGTGCTAGGCAAGTGCTACATCACTGAGCTGTACACCCTGTTTAATTTTAAAATACATAATAGGTAGTAAATTATCTCACAAAGCTAAACTAATCCAAGTGACTGAAGCATATTACTGTTTTTATTAACTAGTGATTTTCATATTCAGATAATCTGTCAGTTACTTAAAAATTTTGTCTAAAATTTGGCAAATTTCTAATTTCTTTGATAGAATTATGTTCTTATAAAGTATGCCACAGTTTATATTCATAAGGATGTAGATGTGTTTAAAAATGTTAAAAAACTTTATATGTTCATTGCAAAGTTTAAAATAGGCTTAAAATTAGTTAGAAAAGTGGAAGTACTCCATAAATAACAAAAGCACATTTGTTTTCAAATGCTTTCTCCATAGTATGAATTTCTTTCCAAAAAAGCAGTTGTTTGCTTGCACTTGACTAAATAACCTTATTTTTAAAAAATATCTGAGTCACATATTACGAATCACCGCCTACAGTCATAGAGCAGCTTAGAAAATTTGGAACAAAGTGTATTTATGTAGAAGAAAAAATGTTAATCATCCTTAAAACAGTTCTTCTATATATTTTGCCTTAAGGGAATTAACTAGAAACTTCTGTACAGTGCAGAACGTTTTTGTGGTCTTTTTTGCCCCATTATTGTAAAGGTTGTTTCTGTTTTAATGCTATATAGGTAGAATCTTCCGAAATAAACTGAACAGATGACAGAGTGGCCCACTGATGACCATGGTTATATAAGTGACATGCACGCATCTAGTGTGTGAACTTCACTGTGGATTGCTGATAGTGATAAAAGCTGCATTTCTTAGCTTTAACAGGAAATTTATTGTAAGTAGATAGGTGCTCGATGTTCTTGTGTCCTCTAGATCATCTCACAACTTCCCCAAAAAAGTCACTTAGGAGATTTTCAGTTACAGTATGTACGTGAGGGAAAGAGTCGCTGCAGGTTTATAGTCTTTCGTCAAGTTCTCTTCATTTTTCAGGTTCCATTTCCCAATTATTAAACAGTAGAGCCAGATGGTACTGTGGACCACCTCCCCCATCCTGTTTGATAAATTGAAAGAAAAGAATAACGGACACTCAACAGTACTGTCCACACTAGAATTTTGTTCTCCTACTGGGAACCATGCTTGTTACGTATATTAAATTCATCTACTAATAGTATGTTGCTAACTAGCAGCTCCTTGGTTGCATAGGGGTGGGGGTCTGTCTCTTGTTATCTTTGTTCCTGATGACTAATTTCCTTCTTCAGTCCCTTTACTCTGTTCCTTTGCATCCCAGCCATATGGCCTTGAAGTCTGTATTGTTCTCTTTTTGTTTCCTATTGCAGACTCATGCTTCATTTATGATCAGAATGTGAAGCATGCTCACAATTTCTCATTTCCTGAGAAGTTGCATTCTAAGTATATCAAGATGCAATGTAGAATCACTGTGATTCTTTTTAGTGGTAAAGGTAAAGTCCTTAGGTCTACTACCCAAAAGCTTTAAACACTTTTAAAAATAAAGCATAGCCAGACATGGTGGTGTACACTTGTAATCCCAGCACTTGGGAGACCAAGGCAGGAGGATCATTGCAAGTTCGAGAGCAGCCTGGGCTACAGAGTGAGCTCAGGCCAGCCTAAAATGTACAATGAAACACTATCTCAAAAAGTCAAAAATAAATAAATAGATTTTTAAAAATCAAGTATTAGGAAATACGTATTTTACACAGTCATTGTGAAGGAAACTGGCTTTCGAGCTTGAAACCTGAGTCTCTATTTCTAACCTTCCATGGCAAAACTGCTTTTCTAGTGGGAAGATAAATACTGGTTTATTTTCATTCCCTGTTTCTGAGAGAAATGTGTTATGAAGGGAATTTAACATCAAAATGAGTGATCCCAGAAGATTAAAAGAGGACATAGGTTATTGGGTATACAGAACTATTTATTAATGAATCTTTCAGAAGCCAAGGCAAAATGTGACACCAGGTGGTAGAGTGATACAGATCAGATGTGTGGCTTTCTTCCTGTCTGATTTCTGTGATGGTCAACCTTGAATAAGTGATTCCTTCAAATATCAAGCTTTTAGTCTGGCTTGGGGACAAATTGAAGTCATTATTGAATGCCAAAAGGACATGCTTTCTAAAATTGTTGATGGAACTATAGGTACCTTGTGTGTGGGTAGTAAAAGACTGTCTTATTACGTCAAGCGCAAACCTGACATGCGACCTCATAATGAGGGGAAGTTCCATCTTTCCAGGGGAAAGGTACAGGTAAAACTTGTTGGTTACTTCTGAGAAAATGCTTAACAATAATCCTCAGTGGGAGCCCTCAAATGCTAAACTTTGGAACGGGAAGACATTGTGTAGGAAGAGATACCACACACTTAGCTCTGTGATAGCAGAATCTGCACACAGCTTCTATGTTGTTTACTTAGAAACGAGCGTATCCCACCCTGCCTCCTTCCTCAAATAATCTGTGGTGGCTTTTGGACTGTTTTCCATTGTCTAAGACACTGACGACTTTCTGGTGCATGGTCAGTCTGCCAGTGACAAGAGGTTAAGAGTCAAGTGTAGATCAATGGCACTTTCAGCCACTCTTTAGCAATTTTGAGAAATATGTGCTTAAGAGAGCTAATTTGGGGGAAGTTAGAGTTGTGTTTCTTTGGATTCTGTTCTTTAGTCATTGGCTAAAGCCCTCATGGACTAGCTTTATGCTAATAGCAGGGTTAGCCACTGTTATTATTATTATCATCATGCTTCACTGTAATGCTAACAAGATCAAGATTAACACAAGTTTAAAGAAATAATTGCAATGAAATGTCTTCTTGGGATAAGCAACAACAAGACTTTCCTTTTGCAGGACTCAAACTTTGAAAGGAGTAAGAAGCATATTTTGGCCATATTCTGTAATGCACTTAGAATAATTTGCTTTTGTGCATCAGTCTTCTTTGACCTTAAAACACTGCTGAAGAAAAGCTCAAACAGACAGAAAAGTTGTGGGGTGTCTTGGCAACAGCTGTCAGTTTGTGGAAGTTATGCTTTGTTGGGTCTCTCTCACATGGTTCTACATTTTTCTGAGGTTCTACCTTTATGCATTTTTTACTTTGCCAAATCGAAACCAGATAAAATTGTATCTTTTCCTGTCTTGCACACTGAAATACATGTGTGCTTCTCTTCTCCAAGGAATTAGAGTGACATTGCAGAGCAATCTGTTTTTGGTTTTCTTTCTTAATATTTATGGCATACAGGCCTTTGTTAAGTGAATGCTCAGGTGTAAACTCAGTCAGTGTGTGTTACAAGCATATGCAAGGAGTTGTTCCTAGAGGAGAGAATGGCTGGATGAAGGGCCTCCTGGAGGTGAGGAGGACCACTGGAAGACTTGAGTGCCAGGGATGTGCACCTTCTTTAGCTGTGGAATGTCTTGTATGGCAGTGGCCCTAAATTTGAACCTTGAGTTTCAAGGCATATAAAATTCAAATACATCGATATATCTGTGTCAGTATGAGAAATTTAAAATATCAAAATATTGCTAACCTCCTTTTGTAACAGTCTCAGAGTATAAAGCAGAAAATAGAGCTTGCCTTCTCAATTGTTGAGTGTCACCTCAACCTGGAATACCTAATGGAAAGAAAATGTGCCTGATGTCACTTTTTTTAAGACTCTGAAAGGAATACAGGGATTTCAAGTCCTCTCCCTTAATTCATTCCAGAAGTTTAATTAGGATGTAGTTTGTGGAAACTCTTGGGAGATTAGATTTCCTTCAGTAGATAAGAGCAATTTCCTAAGTACTGAGTTGTCCAAGAATGTAGTCAATCTGCTTTTGGGAATGATTTTGGGAATGATTTTCCTGTTCCTGAAATTATTCAAATATGTGCTGGTTCAGCATGTTTTGAAGTTGTTTTCTCCAGTGATGGACAAGTTGGATAAACATTCACAGCGGAGCAGATTCCCGTGGGCAGAGTTGGATCCACGCAGCATTCTTGACACACCAGCTATGGATCCAGTCCTGTCCCCCTCACTCAAGAATGGGTACTGGAATGGAAAGGAAACTGATGCCACTTACAGAATCTCTCTACATTATATGTAAAACAGGATTTTAAAACCATAATTGTTACTGGTATCAAATTACAGGTTGAGTACCCCTTACCCAAAATGCTCAGAACCAGAAATGTTTCAGGGTTTGGATTTTTTCATATTTTGCAACATTGAGGTATCTTGGGGGTGGGACTGAAGTCTGTGCATGAAATTCACATATGTTTCATATACATTTCAGACACATAGCCTGAAGGTAATTGTATATTTTTAGTGCACCTTCCTTTTTGACTGTGCCCCATCATGAGAGGTCAGGTGTGGAATTTTTCACTTTTGATGTCGTGTTGGCACTCAAAAAGGATTTTGGAGCATTTGGGATTTTGAATTTTCAGATTAGGGATGTTCAACCTGTACTAACAGCACAATACATAACTTCATATTGGGAGTTGAGAGGCCTCTTAGCCGGCCATTGTTGAGGGACTCCAGGCATCTAGTGGTCACAGGATTAAGAACCTTTCAATTGTTTTAACCTGAGGCTTTGATTGTCCTGACCAAAAGTTTACAAGGAAAGTTTTCTTTCTAGTGATTTGCCTTTTTTCTGTGCTTCTTTACCATTGATATTATTGTTCTGAGAAACAGAGGCCTGAGTTATCATGTCCTAGCCCATTCTATTTTGCAGTATTTAATCTGATTCGAGATACCAAAAACATTGGTTTGAAACAAGGAATATCAGGTGAACAGTGTATATCTACACTTCACAAAGCTTTTTCTTAAAAATCTTATGCCTATCTCTTATGCTGTATAATTACAATTTCTAACCCATAACTTTAAATGCTCATAAATTAAGGCAGACTAATTTTCAGAATTAAAGTTCTGTTGAAATTATAAACATCAGAAATCTTGAAAAAACATAGACACAGCAGCTGTTCGATCATTGAAATTTAAATAAGATTGTCACTGATAGTGAGGGTTTTTTTCTTTTGCATCTGTTCCACAAGTGTAAAAATAATCTTTCCTGGCCCACTAAATTTTACTAAGTTGGACCCTTGATGAAATAGCCAGAGCCCTGAAGATGAAGCAGCTGTGTGTAGTATGCTCGGGTGGGACAGCTGTGGGCACTGTGGAATGAACAGTGCTCTGAGGATGTTGTGGGGCACCAGAGGACTTGGCAGGGCAGCAGGACACTAGGAAACATCAGGGAGAGGCTGTGCATTCTCCCAGTTTTCAAAGAACTCAAGTGTAGGGTGCAAATGTTCCCCGTGACATGTGCCAGAGATGTCTGAACAGTTGTTAGCAGCTGGAGCTGATAACATGTAATGGGAGGGAACTTCAGGTTCTCTGATAGGCACCAATCACGTTTCAGTAATATAACTTTTTGAACAAGATAAGCCAGTAGAAACAATTTTTTAAATTTTGAAAAAGTTTATAAAATAGAGTATAATGAAATAAATACTGGTAAAAAGATAATGATATATACATAGGATATGAGCTTTGATGGGGAGGGACAGATGAGCTTAAACATTTTAAAAACAATTTCCTTTGACAAGAGGAGTATAGGGAGGGCCTACAAGAAAAGAAAGCTAGGGGTCAAGACAGAGGGTACTTAACTATTGATGCTCACAGGTGTTGATACCGGTGGTTATTAATAAAAAAAACCTAATTGATAATATCTTTAAATTTTTGTAGATTTAAATTTTTATAGTAAGTATTTAGAGGTAGTGAAATAGTAACCCGTGTGGATAATAAAAATACATTTTGGTAAACATTTTGGGGAGAGGGGAAATTGCTCTACATCTAAGGTATGCCAGGGATCATTCAGACAGTTTCTCATGCATGCTTGGCTGTATGCTGATTATTGTAGACAGGTGATAGTGTGGGTGTGTGTGTGTGTGTGTGTGTGTGTGTGTGTGTGTGTGTGTGTGTGTTTATTCATTCCCTGGCAGGAGAGCTACCAGACAGCTGGGAAAGGTTAAGAGAAGAACAGCTAGAAGAGGTACAAAACTGTGAGAAGAAATTAGAGTAAAAAATGATCCTGCATTCTTGAAAGATAAAGCTGTGATTAGGAATCAACAAAATACAGGCTAAATATACTGCTTTATGAAACCCTCTAGGACTGAACAAAAGATAGCTGTAGTTGCTAGAGGAGGAGAGGTCATAAAAAAAAAAAGATAACTTCTGTATAGTGGTTTGCAAAGCAGTTTCACCTTGTCATTTGAGCTTTACACAGATGAGGAAGAGAAGAAAATGTTGTTGTTCACATGTGACAAATGTGAAGACAGATGGCTCAGAGAGAGTTAGTGACTTGGCTAGGCTGACCTGGGTCAGGATCCACACCTGGTTAACTCAGGGCCCTTGCTCCTGCCTGGCCATAGTGCCATATTAGTTAGGCTCTGCACCTGGGGTAAGGCTGTGTGTGTGTCAAGGTTTGTAAGCTGCAGGTGTCACGTATATCTTTGTATCAGGCTCTACAAATGAAGCAATAATGTAAAATATAGGGACACTATTCAGACCTTAAAAGCCATGAATCTTGCAGTACTTACATAATGGAAGAGTTGATTTGGGGAGAGCAGTCAGTCCGTCTCATAGCTTCAATTAACATGTCAATTTATTCAATATAAAGTTCCTTCATTTTTACCTGTTGTGTACTCTGATATGAAGTGGGCTCTTTTTTGTATCAGGAATGGCTTCTGCTAGGCAAAAAAGCGCAAATATCCAAAAGATCAGTCTCATATGAAAAACTGACCACAGGTAAGGTGGTGAGTGATTGTAACTGTTTATTGCCTCACTTGTGGCTGATGGCAGAATTTTCAGACATAGGAGATGCTATTTTGAGGATTATTGAACCATCCGTGTCTCTTCAGCTGGTGAGAATACCACCCATTTCCACCAAGGGTTATCATGGCATGCTGGCATTAGAGTACAGTTAGTCTTCTCTCATATAGATTCTAGGAACCAAGTTCAGAGAGTAGTTGAGGCAGGTGAGTGGCAGGAATGTGTCATTTGGGCAGGTTTAATGGAAGGACAGATACTCGTAGTATTTTCAAAGCACTTTATATCCTTATCAACTTGTTCAAGCTTATGCTGCTTCCTTGTTTGCTGATTTTGTATGTTAGCCAAAATAGGAAGTATCAAGTTGTCAGCACTTTAAAAAAAACTTTTTAGGTTTGTAGACACTGTAAATAATATATTCACCCATAATTTATTAGAAATAAAATGATCAGAATGGGTAGTCTAACTTTTAAGTGGCTGATATTTTCTAATAAACACAAGATGTGCATACTTGTGTTTGAGAGCTCTTAGTGCTTTCTGGCAAAGAAGTTGGGCAGGCTTCACAGTACACGGACAAAATGGGTTAAAAAATAGTAGAAGTGCTAGAAAAGTTTAATGATAGGTAAGATTGGTGCTTTGATAAAATTGTTAGAGAACATTGGAAAATTTAGCCAAGGTGGGCTGGGGACAGTTCAGAGGCAGAGTGGATTAGCACATTCAGTGCCCTTTATTTGGTCCCCAGCGCGCGCACACACACACACACACACACAACACACACACACTTCTAAGGGTGATATACTTCACACAGGCAGTACGTGTGGGTTGTGCATAAAGTGCCTAGCACAGTGTTTCCTCTTTAAGCATTACATCTTTTAAATTGATTACAGCACAAAAATTGGCAGCTGATGGTGCACGGGCCAAATCTGTCCTGTTGCCTGTGTTTATGTGGCCCATGAGCTAAGAATTGTGTTTACGTATGTACATAAAAATGATTTAAAAAGTCAAAGGTGAATATTTGATGACACATAAAAATTATGTGAAAAGCAAAGTACGGTGTTCATAGGTAAGTTTTATTGCATTCCAACTGTACTCATTTTCCATCTTCTAGTTGCCTTTGTGCTGAAGCAGCAGAGCTGAGTAGTTGAGACAGCATCTGTATTATTTTACATTCTCAACAGTGACATTTGAGGTTTCTAATTTCATTATCTACTTGCCAGTACTTCATATTTATCTTTTTGGTTATAGTCACCCTACTGGGTTTGAAAGTGCTATCTCATTGTGGGCTTGATTTCCATTTTCCAACTGACTAGTGATGTCAGGCATCTTTTTATATGCTGATTGGTCATTTTTAACTTCTTTGAGAAATAGCTGTGTATTTCACCCACTTTTAAAATTGGTCTGTCATTTTATTATTGACTTATAAAAGTTCTTCATACATTTGATATGCAGATTCCATATCATGTATTTGCAAATATTTTTCTTTTTCACTTTCTTTATATATTTGTTCATAGCACTAAAGTTGTACATTTTGATATAGTCCACTTTCTCTGTTATTGCTTCTTCTTAATGTCATAACTAACTATTGCCTAACCCAAGGACATAACGATTTTAGAGGATTTTTAAAATATGTTGTTTATTCATTTATTCTTAGTTCTATACTTTATAGCTCGTACTGCCAGGTTTTTTTTTCTTAATTCAGTCCTTCAAGGATAATACGTATGGGGTACATACTGCATAATATTCTACAGTATACATTAAGATAGTCAACAGTTACCTGTTGATGGGTATAAAGTCTATTTCCATTTTTGTTTTTGCCACAAACAAAACTATAAAACATTAATACTTATGATTCTAGTATCATTACCCCTGCAGGGGATGTTATCTAGGGTAGAATGGGAAGATTCCTTTAAAATCTAAGACGGGGTTTGTCTGACATGAGAATTCAAGCACTTTAGTCAACTGGTTGGGGAAAAGTCCAAATTCACTATAAAAGAACTTTCCATGCCATAAATCAATTTTATAGAACTGGATTGCCCTCATGATCTGTTGCTCTCTCAGTAACTTACTTTAAAAAGTAGAACAGACTTGTTTTCCATGCAGCAGTAGTTGAAGTAACCATTATGCCTGCTTTTGTGTGTGTGTGTGTGTGTGTGTGTGTGTGTGTGTACAGTCAGCTGAGATTGTTTTGCTCGGTTTGGATGGAAATAACAAATAGCAAAGTGCTGTTCTGCTGGCGGCTCTGGGCTTTGAGTGCCGGCAGCTATCAGCCCTTAGCGTTACAGCTCTGGATCCTGAGCTCCAGGGGCCTTCTGTTATTAGTGCTACTGCTGTGGCCTTGAGTAAGATTGGCTCCTAGTGTTACTGTTCTCTGCTCCTAAGCTCTTTGGAATCTGAGCTTCTTATTGTTTTTGTCAGCTTTCTGTAGCTATTCCAACAGCTTCTGCTGCCTCTTTGGGATGCCTGGCCTCTGCTGGCTTGCTGCGGTTCTCTATTGCCAATCCCTGCCAATCTCCACAGGTTGTTCTAGTCTCTGCCTCTGGGACTTCTCAGGGCTAATAGCCCTATTGTTGTCAACTCTTTTTAATTATATCTGTTCTGCCACAATACCTGAGATAAGTACTGTGGGTAGATTTACAGGATCACTTGAGCAAGGACTTGTTGGGACCTGTGTTCCAGCACTAAGGGTTAATACACTGGAGGGAGCCCTACTTACTAACTCAAGGACAATAAGGGACTTCTGATTAGAGAGAGGAGCAGAGGGCCACAATTGTGGATGTTTTGCAGACCTTTTTGAGGACTTTCACAATACTTGGAGGACAGGGTCAAGGAAGAGTCATCAGGCATGGCTGTAGGGTGAAGTCTTCTGGAATAGATCTGTTTCCAGCCTGCTGTGTCCAAGGCAGATATCTCCTGGAGCCTACAGGGTGTCCAGAACAGCTAGGTTCAACTTCTGGAGAAGTGGCTGCTTGATTGACACTTCTAATGTTTCTGCAAGGATGGAGTTGAAATCACTATGCCATTGCTTTCCAGGTGTCTCCAGGAGGGCTGCCATGCTGGCCATGGCCCACTGGGATTTGAGGGATATCAACAGTGGGCCTGATCCTTCCTCTCTGTCCTGTCAGTAATGTTTTCCCAACTGGTCTGTAGGATATGGACAAGGCTGTCAGCTGAGCTGAGGTTCCTGTCAATGTGTCCTGGAAGGTGACCATGAAATAACCTCGTGGCTTTGGGAGAACCCTGGTACTGTTTGCCCGGGCTATCCCTGGGGACAAATAGTGCCTTGAGGGAGGAGCCTAACAATGCCATTATCTCTTCTGGCTGTCAGAAAGAAAAAGGAAAGGGCTGACCTAGTTTCTTTACTATCTCATGATCATGCCTCACTGAAAATAAATTAGAGATCATATATAAAGGCAGGTGCACATTTAGAGCCGTGTGTGTTAATGTAGGAGCTGACGAGTTCCCTGTAGGAAAGTGGAGTCTGGGCCTTCTCTTAGCTCTGGTTTCTGGCATTTAATTTCTTGTATATTGTTGAAAAGGGATAGACAGGGTTAAAAACTGGGGCACCTGATGTTTTTCAAGTAATTATGACCAAATACAAACATTAAAAAATAAAAGTCCAGTAATTAAAATTGAGCCAGGCTTGGCGCCACATGCCTGTAATCTCAGCACTTGGAGGCTGAGGTAGGAGGTAGGAGGATCACTGAGAGTTTGAGGCCAGCCTGGGCTACAAAGTAGTTCAAAGCCAACCTGAACTGCATAATGAAACCCTGTCTCAAAAAGTGTAATGTAATATTTTTTTTGAGTTGGGGTCTCACTGTGTTGCCCACACTGTTCTCAAAATTGTGGGCTCAAGTGATCCTACTGCCTCAGTCTCCTGAGTAACTGGGACTACAATGCACACTGCCATGCTGACTGAGTATAATTTTATAACATTTATTTGTAATTTTTTTTTTTTTGAAACAGGGTCTAACTATGTAGTTCAGGCTGGCCTTGAACTCACTATGTAGCCAAGGCTGGCCTTGAACTCATGGCTGTCCTCCTGCCTCAACCTCCCACATGCTGGAATTACAGGCCTTTGCTACCATGCCCAGCTCAAGTAATGATATAATAGGAATGAAAACCTTACAGGAGTTTCAGCTGATATCCTGTTCCTATAAAATCTGAGTAACATAATTAATGGTCAGCTTCTCATTTAGAAGAGTCAGAGTAACAGATGAATGTTTCAGTATTTTTAAATTAAGAGCCCTTAGTGGCCTATCATATTGACTCTTCATTACAGTACACTTAGCTTCCTTTTAATAAACCTTAAAATTGGTGCCATTATTCAGACTTTAGCTAGAGGATTGCTTTAGAGTCTTAATGAATGATTGAGATGCTAAGTTACTATTTCAGCTTTATTTTAAACTATTTTTCTAATGGCTTTGGGATCTGTTATTGCTTGGCATGAGCCACTAAAGCAAATAATTTGTAGGGAACTGACCAGAAAAAGCTAACTTTGAGGGTATTGTTTTTCTTTTACCTTTTCATTAATGGAAACCTTAAAACATTTCAAAAGTAGGAGGAATGGTATATTCCTTCCCCCATGTGTGACTTAGCTTCTCAGAACCTGTTTTGTTTCATTATTCATTATTTGTTTCATGGCCCTTTACAGCAGCTAGTAGCCTCATGGGACTACCCAGCACTCGCATTGTGGCTGCTTTGAATTGAAATGTGCTGTGGTGTTAAACACTGCCCCAGAGCCTGTTCCAGCAGCCTGCTCTTCCTCCTTGGAGCTCCTCAGGGAATTCTTTCTTAGCCCTCATGTCTACCTCTGTGAAAATTTCTTTTGCTTCCTGGTAACACTTCTGGAATTTATAATTATTTGATGTGTCTACTAAGTTTTGGTCTAACTCAACATCTTGGTGTGGCATCTATGCCCAGCAACAACCTAGTGGACAAACAGCCTGCTTGGAAGGAATTCTCAATTCAGCTAGACCCCATACATCCTTTTTCACAAAATGCATGTGGGCATATCAAAGTCTCCTTTAATATCCTTCCTGCCTAAAATCTGTCTAAAGAGAGGTCATTTATGTGAATTTAATCTCTTGCTTCAAGCTTTCTGTTGTATTGTGACTTTGGGCCTGTGAACAGCTGGATTATGGACAACTGTCAAATGTCTTATTCATGAGGCATACATATATTAAATGTGTGTTTGTTTAAATAATGAGATAGCAAGGTGACAGACCCATAGGTGAAGGCTGAATAAAAGATTTTGGTGAGAAACAGACTGGTTCTTCATATTTTAGATATTATGACCTAGATCTGAAATATCTCCCCAATGTCTCATGTATTTGGAAGGTGATTGGGTCATGGGGGTGTTATATTTATCAGTGGATTCATCTGATGAGTTGAGTGGCTGAATATGCTGATTGGAGGTGAGTCACTACAGGGTGTGATCTGGGAAGGTCTATTCTTGTCCCACAGATTCTCGTTTTTCTCTCTGCTTCCTGACTGCCATGGGTTGAGCATCTGCCTTTGGCCTTGCCTTTTCACTGTGTTGTTTCTGCCTTGGAGACAAACTGTGAACTAAATCCTCTGCAAGGCAAAATAAACCTCTCCTTCTTTTAAGTTGTGGGTGTTGGGTATTGTGCCTGAGTGTCAAGAAAGTGACTAATACAAAGTCTTGGTACTAGAAAAGTAGACCCGTTGCTGTGACTATACCTTACTTTGTAGTCTACAGCTGGTTTGAGGGAGAAATTAGGAAAGACTTGGAGATGCCAACTAGAGAAGTCCCAAAATCTTATAAGCCAAGCTCAGAAGACTAGAATGCTGATCAGTATGCAGCAGTAAAAACCAAGCTCAGGAGGTTTCATTTGGGAACAAGGACTCCACTGCTAGTTGGACTAGAGGCCATGTGTGTTATACTCTGGAAGAGAATTTGTCTTCTTTTGCCCATGTTCCGAGACTTTGTGGAAGACTGACATTAACAGTGGCAGAGGAAACAGTGATATGGTGGGGAAATTTCAAAGTAGCCCAGCATGCAGGCTGTAGCATGGGAATTCTTACTGGTTTTAGCCAGATGGATAGTGAGAATCAAGAGTACAAAGTAGATGTGAAAAGTTTGCAGTTTCATCAGAGAGAAACAAAGGAGAGCATAGCTGAAAAGATTACCATTAAAAACAAGCCAAGAATTTTGTATCAGGATAGTTTTTAAAAAGTCCTGAAGTCATCTAGAAATTGAGCAGACTCCACATTTCACAAGCTTAAGAGTGCAAGACTAATAAATGTTTTATTTGAGAAGAGAGGTCTGGTGACACCTGTTCATTCAGGGCCTCCTAGAGAAATGTAGTTTCAACTTTAGGTGTCCAGGTATTTAGAGGCTGCGGCAGTCATGATCCAAGGGGGCCCAGCTCCTGCTCAAGCTGGCAGCCAACCTTGGCATCATTCACATGGTGTTGGTTTTTCAGACATACAGAATATAAGAGCTATGGGGTTGCAGAGGCTTCCACACAAGTATCAGAAGGCTAAGAAACTAAGATAGGGGAAAAGAGAAAGGATAGAAGGGAAAAGAAAAAAAATGCAAGTTAGTTATACCGTTAGTGTCACTTAGTTCACTGAATAGGAATGGTTGTGCTAATATTGATTGAAGAAATTTTTATGCCCATATTTTGTACTTGAGTGACTAAAGATAATGTTGTGTAATTTATCAACAGTTGTTATTTTTTCATTATTTTGTTGTGAAAATTTGTTTTAACCTTTTCTTCTTAATATTAACAAATAAAGTAATAAATTTAATATTTAAAAAAAACCTATCAGAAGGCCTCACAGGCCAGGCAAAAGTATCATAATCCTTTCCAGGAGCACATGAGAGGGTAGTATGTGCAGCTATGAGGGCGAAGCAAAAGGTACAATAGGAACCTCAAGAATTTAGAGATTCCAGGAATGTGGAATGTGTACTGAGGATGGCTATAGCAGTAAGCAGAACTAACCCAAGAGATTGGCCATGTGGGGTGCAACCCGCCAAGCCATAGGATCAGGGCTGCCCAAGCCCTTGGAAGTCACTTCCCAGCCTGCCTTGGATACTAGATGTGCTGGATTAAATGTTTGCCCTGCTAACTTTCGATCTTGCTTTTGTCCAATTTCTGTTTATTCCCCTCAAGGGGAATCATATTATCAGTTGAGAGGATGTATCATTACCACAAAATTTTGCTGATGCCAGTGTTTAAAGGAAGAGAATACATTTTGTTTAAATTAGGTACAATCATAACTTTGCTATTACTGCTACTTGGTATAAAGATTTTTATCAACCAAAATAAAATTCAATGAAACAAAACTACGTAGTACCTGGACCACAGTTTTGTTTGTTAGTTTTGAGACATGGCCTCACTAAGGTGTTCAGGCTGGCCTTGAATTCCTGGGCTTAAGCAGTTTTCCTGCATCAGCCTCTAAAATAGATGCATGCCACCGCACTGGGCTGAATCGAACCTTAGTTTTGAGCCTGTGCTCTTCATGTAATAATACATTTGAAAAATGCTTTACTTTGAACCTTAGGAAGATAAGAAAAAGGGACAGCCTGAAGAAGAAAAGGAAGCTTCCTGCACAGCTGCCACCACAGAGCGTGGAAGTGGAGTAGAGATCATGAGGGTGAAGTGGTTTGTTTGCCCACTTCCCTATGAGTGGTGGTTGGGAAACACTAACCAGCATTCCCCAAGTATTTCATAATAGATAATGCACAACAAATTGTCTTGTTCCACCAAAATATAATTCATGTTTCAAGTTGGGAAATACTCAAAAAATGTGTCCGAGGGCGATAAACAGGAGTTAGTGAGGTGTTAACACTTCTGGCCTTTTCACTACTGAACATTCTGCAGAGTGGACGTGACTGTGTTGGTGCAGTGTGGTTTTCATGTCATAAAGAAATTCAAGGCCCTGGTCGCTGGAGGAAACCATTTGGCTTCTTCAAGAGACTTTTCATTACAGACACTTCCTATTTATTGTTTCTTCTCTGTGTTCCTAACGTGTCAGGTAACACTTCTATGATAAAATTTCATTTGCTGTCTTACTGTGAGCAAGTATTAATGTAGTTATTTCTAATAGTGCAATGATGAAGATTGTCTGAATAATAAACAGTGCTAGCTATAAGGCTAAAGGACCAGAAAGATGTTACATACGAATGATGACCGAGCTATTCCGAGCTATTTTGTTTTAAGGCAATTTAAATAAGTTATTTTTGGTTAATGACTATATCAGCTACCTTCTAGATATGTCAGCTGTCCGTGAACTGTAATTGGAAATCTCTTGGTAAACCAAAACTTCATGGTAGTCTACTTAAATCTTTTAGTGCTAACAGGAATCTATAATTATAAAATTTTATTTTCAGTAAATATTTCCACCTCTTCTTAGCTGAGACCAAGAATAAACACTTGGTATGTATAACTGGATGACTCAAAGAATGAACTTGGAGTATTGATAACAACCAGTCTCTCTCTCTCTCTCTCTCTCTCTCTCTCTCTCTCTCTCTCTCTCTCTCTCTCTCTCTCTGCTCTCTCTCTCTCTCTGCTCTTTTTGATCACCATTACATAGTCATTTGGAGTAGAGGTGTGTAGCCAGTGTGGAAAATGCTTTTGGAGGAAGGAGTCACCAAAAGAAAGTGACATAAGACCAAAAAAAGGGTTTATTATAGTTATTGACATTGCTATAAGGGCAAGCCAGTGCTTTGTAAATACACACCACATGCAGATATTAGGGACGGTGGAAGTCTGAGTCTCCACGTTTACATGTCCAGTCATTAGCGTGCATGCAGTAGATAGGGCACCAAGTTAGAAACAGGAAGAGGCAGCAGAAGAAGGATGAGGTTCTGGGCACAGCCCAGAGGACAGAGTGGAGAAGCGTTCCTGCACAGCCTGTTTCTGAGGAAAACAAGTCCATCTTTCAGTGGCTGAAGTAACTTTTCGTCTGGCTGTAATATTCTTCTGGATGACTCTGTGAAATCTATAAAACAAATTTAAAGAAAACTCTTTTCTGTTTGTGGGACTGTGTAATCAGCCCATATTAATTAATGCCATGCAATATATTACTGAGGAAAAGGATTAAACACTAGTATGAATAAAAATAGTCTCATTGTTCTCCCTGGGGTAAAATTATAAGGATTGTCAGTCATCCTGCTTGGGGGTCTAGTTTGTTATTGGCTGGTTTGGGAACAATGGTTTCTATGTTCCCATTACATAATAGAGCGCCATTACGTGAAGAGAGGGATTTTTCCCCTTTTCTCACATAGTCTGGTGTAAGGAGCTATAGGAACAAAAAAAGAAATTACAGTTGTTTGGATATTACATCTAGAATTCCCAAAGGAATTATCACTGTATCCATCTCCTAGACATGAAATGTTCCTTTCATTTCCTCTCACCCTTCCTCCTCGCCCACCCCTCTCGGGTAGGTGCTCACAGATTTGGCTGGATTTCTCCGAGTCCTCACACACATTATCAGGTGTCCCTTTGATATGATGCATATTTTCAAAACTTGACATTGAGAATATGCATCTATCAGAAACTGAAATGAGCATGTTTTAAAGGTTAAATCATAGAGGAAAAGAATCTCTTTTTCCATCTTGTAATTCTCTGGAAGGAGACGTGAAGGTGTAAGCAGTTCGCTGTCCTGCGCAGCCTGTTGGAGTCCAGCTGTTTTCCAGTTCTGTTCCCCGAGCAGCAGTGCGTGCCTCTCCAGAGTGCTGGAGCTTTGTACTACTTCTGGTCTAGTGGCACTAGGTGTGTTGGGGCATAGGCTTCTTTTTTCTTTTAACAGCTGTGTGCTCTTGGCTGGTCTGTATCTTTTTATTGGAACAAGAACTACAAGGAGTCTTTCTGGAGGAAGAGGCTGGCCTATGCCTTACTTGCATTTTGTTGTTAGGTTCTGAGTACAGGTAAAATAGAGCCACGTATTTTTTAATAGTTTTGACTTAAGTCAGAAATATTGGTTGCCAGAAGAAATTATTGCACATTAACACATATTATATTACTATTTGATAATTTATTCCTCCCAGTAGTGTTAATTCAAGCATTTTTATGTCATTAATGGTAATGGACCTGCCTATTTCATTTTTTTAAAAAAAGGTAGTTTCTGTATATTTAGCCATAAAAACATTCTTGGAGGAAACAGACTGCCTGTGTGTGTGTGCGCGCTCGCGCAAATTCCAAGTAAGTGTGGGAATTTGGGCAATTAATGTTGAGATCTCTCTCATCTCAGTGGCCTTTTTTCAGGAAAGCCTACCTCAGCCCAAAGATGTGGTTGCACCTGCGTTCCCTCTGTAATGCCCAGCACTCTTGTGTTTGCCCACACAGCTCCATGTGGCTCCAGCTGGGTCACCTTGCCTATTTGTGGTTTCTCCAGTGTACCCACACACAGGGCTCCACTGTTCAGCTGCACATCCCAGTGTAGTTGTAAGGAATCAGTGAGATGGCTTGGGTAAAGCCCTCAGAATGGCAACTGACCAGAGGGAGTGATCGTTTGATACCAGCTTTTATTAAATATTAGTCATGTATTTGTCTCCACTTGGAAAAGACTGGTATAGTTAAATTTTGTTAGCTCTTTCTTTCATTTTTCTCTAGTTACATTCCTTTCTATAACTGTGTTTCCAAAGGCATTTAATAGTTTATAAATTAGCCATCTTGATAATATGATAGACTCATCTTTTTGTTTCATAGATGTGTGAGTTTGCATATATATAAATGCATATGTGTATGTGTGTACTCGCTGGATCTTCACCAAAAATGACTGCAAACACAAGTGTTGACCAGGGTCTGCTAGTCTTAGTAGAGGGAAAGGTGTTCCTAAAACAGCCCCAGTTCCCAGAGGCCCAGTATCATTTTGCTGGCATTGTGACTTCTCTGCTGTCTCTTATTTTGAACTAGTTCATTTCAGTAGCTAACTGCAATCAAATGATGGTTTCCAGTATAACATATTTATATTGCCATTTTTTAAATGAACAGCTATAATTATGTCAGCATCCTTAACAAGAGTTTTTAGTAGAAAACCTTAAGAATTTTAAGATTAATGATAAATATTGAGTTGTGGTAATATCTCAAGCAATAGTATTTTAGCAGATTCCTTTGATATGCAGTGAACTAGTTTTTAGAGAAATAAAAAGTGTGTTCTTACTAATTTAGCTTTCAAATTATATAAACAATACAGTCTCATAGATAGTGCAGAGACTATAGATGAGAAAGCATTTAATATTACAGTTTAAAAATTAAAAGAAAAAATGTGCAGCCATTGTTAATTGCATGTCTTAGTCTCTAAAACAGATGCTGGTCCATGGTACATATGCAGTAAATGATTGTTGAATAAAAAGATGAAAAAGTAATATACTTTGTAGTGGACACCCTGCAGAAGAAAGAGCACAGCTGCTTACATCTGGGAGAAACTCATCCGTCAAGTAGTGTAGGTATATATTTGGCAAAATTAGTTTTAAGTTGTGTATATTGTTGTGATTATTAAAGGACTACACTAAGAAACCCACTAGGTCATTGTAGTGTTGGAAAGTAATTTATGTCTCGCTGCTTGCTAAGGTCTTAGTAAACAGCACTGAGATGCTGGTAAGTGGCATTGAAATGGCCAGCACAGCCTCCCTTTTGGTAGTGTTGGCCATAAGTCAAATACATTTTTTTTACTACGTGTCTGCAAATAAACAAATGTACATGTTAGAAGTCAGGAAACTATTAATATTTCCCACACATACAGATTATTTGGTAAAAATTTTAAAAGTGAATACACTGAACCTTCCACACCTGCACTGCTTCAGTACCTGTGTCAAGAACCTGGCAAGTTGAAGACCACTTGGTTCTCCAAGTGTGAGCTGCTCCTCCTAGGTACCCCAGCTTTAATCCTCGCGTCCATGCTTTGGCTTTGCACACTAGCCTTGCTCTCTAGCTCCATGAAGAGGAGTTAACAAAGGAACAATTCTGCTTTTGACTCCTCCTTTTGTAGCTTATATATATTATTATCAACTAGTTGCTAGTTGGTTTGTTATTATCAACTAGCAACAAGAGAAGGATTGTCAAAACCAGGAGTGTTATTAAAAATGAAACATTAAAATAGATAATTGAGTAACAGAAGTGAGACAAATATATCCCAACATTTGCTATTATTTCTGTTACTCTGGTTTTTGTTTCTTTTTTTAACAAAAACAACCCAGCCAGGCTTCAAGAGAAGTAAATAGTGCTTATATAATTTCTGTTAGAGTTTATTTACAATTTAATATTGCTGATAGGATGTGTATTAAAAAGGAAATTAATTACCTCATTGATACACATGTGTGATATTTCACTTTATGGGTCATAAAGAATTCTGTATACTAGTTTAGAAGAACAGCTCGTGCTTATAACATTGAATTTTTGGGAAAATGCATTTTGAGTTCCAAATAATAAGCTTAGAAATTCACTTTCAAAACACAGCCCAACTGTTGAGATACCTTTGAAACAGCTCAATTGGAAAGCCGATGAAAGGCTTCTATTTGGTATCCTGATAAAATATAGTCTGGAAACATCTAGTTCCTCCAGCTTAGCTTTTTTTCTAACTAACCCAGAAAGGTCTTAGTTTTCTTTTCAAATCAACCTGCTGTCTCTTCAGTTGATGATAGTTTGGAATGGAAATGCCTACTGAGAAACTTTTCCAGGATCTTTTAGAATTTCCAAGCAAGAATTTTTTTGAGGACCATTTTAAAAAATATTATTTGTAAGTCCACAGATAAGTTAAGAATTTTCCACACTGAAGAGTCATGATCAGTTCTGAAAGCATGGCCTATTTCTGAATAATTTCTGAAGGAGTTGTAAACTGCTATTCAACATTTTTCTTCAATGTTCCTTTCGGTAGGTATTAATCTTTGGGGAAATCTGTCAGACGTTTTCTAGCTGAGAAAAAATAAAGGTCAAAGATTTACTTTCTAAAAGAATTTTTTAAGTTTGGTTACTTTGGATGTGAAAAAAAATGCCCCCCATGGATTGTGGCATGAGAAACTTCATTTGTTAGGTGTTCATGAAATGTTTTATGACCACTGATTTTTTAAATATCCTCAATTTGTTGAAGAATAAGCAAAACCTCAAGGTGTGACTTTCCTACTTCAGTCTTTTGGGTGAAAACAACACACTCAAAGCCAAGGGGATTATAGTGGAATATTCAGGCGTTTGCTACTGTGATTATAAGTTGGTCCTGTATAAAATCTTTGTGCAGTATTTCACGAGTGGTGTGCTGTGTTTGAATACAAAATATCAAAACTTGCTGGTTACTCGTTTTTTCATTTTCATTTTCACGGTGCCAATGTTACTAAGTATTAATATTGTCAGTATTACTAAAAGTGAGTTTTACCGAAGTAAGTAGTGAATGGGTTTACCTGTCTTGCCTTCTGCTTCTCCCCACCCCTTCTTTTCCTTTTCCTCCTCTTTCCCCTTGTCTTGTGACCCAAGGCTCGTGCACACTGAGCAGGTACTTTACCACAGAGCCGCACCCTAGCTCCTCACCTCACTGGCCGTGTCCTTTTCATGTGTGTCCCACAGATTGTCTCCAGCCCGTGACTGAGTTTCTTGTAGAGACAGAAACGTTGCCCCCTCTTTGATGGTTAATATTCATTGTTGCTTAATATTCTAGTGCAGCGGTGAACTTTTACACAGGTAATGGGAAAATGCAGTTTATGTGGTATGAGGTAGGACTTGTCACATGGAGGTGACTTGCAGAGAAACAGTTTCTGATGAGTTCTAGAGAAGAAAACGGTTGCTCTGAGCAGCAGTTGGGGGAGTATTGTGCTGAAAACAGCCGCAGGTGAGGTTTGTGCAGGCTGCAGGCACAGGCCAGCTGCACGATGTTGCTCAGATGGCTGTGCTCCCCTGGGTGTTTGGAATTGCCTTCTGAGGAGGATTTTATGAGCTGTGCCTTGGTTCTTCTTTACAGTTTGGTTATATCTTTCAGATTGATAATTTTCCAAAGCAGCCTTCCTAAATCAGTTTCTTACTGCTGCATAAAAAACTGTTCTTTCTTTTGGTGAAAAAGAGGCTTTGAAAGGTTGTGGTTTCACTTCGGAGTATTGTAGGTAGGTCTGCTCCTGCATGGTGTTTACTTGGCCCCCTGAAAAACGGTGGTTGATCAGCAGGAAGTTGTATTTTAAAGCTATTATACCTTACAGCAGTTTTCACATGTTTATTTTTAAATTCATGGTGAAAATGTGTGTATTATATTCTGTGCTTCTCTATGTACCCCGAGTAAGAGGGTTACTAAGAAACAAGGGGAGTAATGAAAGTAGCATAGCACAGAATCGGACTCTCGGAATTTGGGGGGAATAAATAAATGTGTTCAGTGGGTAGTTGTTTTCTTGAAGATACTCTTTTGGTTTTTTGAGGTGGGGTCTTGCTGTGTAGTTCAGCCTGGCCTTTAGCTTACTATGTAGTTCAGGCCAGCCTAGAATTCATGGCGATCCTCTTGCCTCAGCCTCCTGAAGAATTACAGGCAAAATACCACCACACTCAGCTATTGAAGATATATAATCAACTTTTTTTAATTTTAAAGAGAAAAAAATCAAGAACAAGCAAACAAAAAACAAGTAAAAAGATGACAGCAACAAAAAACAATAGTGATACAGGATTCCAAATCAACATGATAGGAATTTAACAACATTGCATAATATTACCTTCAAAATAGTTGCTCAGGTTACCAGATACAGGCCTGCAACATTGATCAAACAATATCATTTCCCTTTGAGCAGTTTCCTTCCCTTTTACTATATCTTTTGTAACTTTTGGATCTTATTTACTCTTTCAGTTTCTTACACTATGAGACAATATGGTGTTTACACGTGCAAGTCTGATTTATTTCACTTATAAGTATGGTTTCTAGTTGCATCCATTTACCTATAAAAGCCATGAGTTTATCATTCTTTATGACTAAATAATATTCCATTGTACAAAAGTATTGCATTTTTTTTTATCTATTCCTAATTTGATGGGCATTAACCAACCTTTATTTGGTCAAACTTATTAGAAATCTATCTCAAATATTTTACAGGTTGTTATATGTTTCTATACTCTTTCTGGAAAGTGGTATAGATGTAGTTATCAGAATTTAAAATATATAGCTTTTGACTCCACAAGCCTACTTTTGATAACTCATCCTACAGAAATGAAGCACTAGTTAGTGTAAGTAAAGGGGAGTGTGTTTTTTATATATATATATATATATATATACATATATATATATATATATACACGTGTATATTTATTGCCTTATTGCATGTAGTATCAAAGCATTGGAATCACTGTGAATGACTTTCAGTAGTTAAATGGCCAAATAAATTAGTGTGTTTATACCCTGGAATGATTAAAACTGAATTAGACCAGTTGAATAGGAAGGAGGCTTGTGTGTGTGTCATACAATTTCAAATTTTTACAACGTTTCTTTGTTGCTTTCATTGTCATATGTACCAGCCAGGCTGTCTGTGAGGTCGGAGAGTGGCAAGCAGATTAGGGGAAAAAGTAAGATGGTAAAAACAGACATTGTAGAGCCAGCATTTTTATGTAAAGGTATATATTTTGTATATTTGTATATGAATGTACCAAGTCTATGCATAAACACATAAATGTAAAAATGATCAGAATGTTAAGTGATTTCATAGGTATTGTGATTATAGCAATGTTTTATAAATTTTCCCCATGTGAATTTCTAAGAATCTTATTTGTATAATGTGAAAGAAAAAACTTCATGGAGGAGGGCAAAAACACAATTATGTCTAATTTTCAATATTGTGTTGTTAGAATTCTGATATAAACCTCAAATATGAACCTGTGTACCAATACAGAATTGACTTTACAAATGTAGTATGCTTCAAGACCTAGAAAATGGCTGTGGCCGTGTGGTAGTAGTTTGCATTTAAATAATAAGATTAACGGTTTCTTTTGTGATTACTTAACAACATTACTTATTAGTATTGAAAGAGTAAGATAGCTCAGAACTGTTGAGGTTTTTGTCTGTAAGCAAACCAAAAATATGAATATTTAGCTGTATAAAAATGAAAATTTACTATGGTGCCTACCATAAGTAAAAACTTCTAAAAATGGTGAAAATTGCCAACATAAAGATTCTGTTGTATATTTGATCAACAAGAAAAGACAGTTCTGTAGAAAATGAGTAAAGAAACAGGACATGACATGACCAGGGGAAAAAAAGCACAGATAAATATAAATAGCCAGTATGAACAGCAGTAATGAATATAAATTAAAACACCTGTTAATCAGGCTGATGAAATCAGAACAGCAGCTGGGAATACATGGACCTCAAAATACAGTGCACATTCTTTATCCTTATTTCTGCTTTTCTAGGAGTTTATCTTGATTTAACTAATTAGAAACATCTTTGTAAAAGTGTGTATATAGTGATGTTTTATCATGAAATTCTTTATAATGACCAAAGTGAAGGAAAACTAAGTAAATAATGATAATAGCAAATTAACACATATTTATATAATTCAGCCCTATGTAATTATAAATCATGATACAATTGTGTATTTGTAAGAAAATTAGTGAAAAATTCCAATAATATGTAAAGAATAGATTCCATTTCTGTAGAAATAAATTGTAGAGCATTGCACAAATAAACGTCTAAAGAGACTATATATCAAACATTTATGTTGACTATCCCAAAATGTGGAATGATTTTTCTTTCCTTTTCTGAGCATTGTTTTAGCATTCTAGTAGAAATCACAGACTCTAATGAAATGTGCTAATATACAAATATGCTTCTTGTTTTATAAATATGTCATTTTTTCACTTTCTATTGTGAAAGTGTATTTTATAATTAGAAAAATTCACTTTGGTTACGTGATACATTAAGGAAAAACTAATAAACAAACAATAATTACATGGAGCTGAGTGTGGTAGTGCACATCTGTAATCCCAGATACTTGGGAAGCTAAAGCAAGAGGTTCAAAAATTCAAGGAAGCTTGCCTGGGATACACAGCAACTTAAAGAGACCCTTTCTCAATAAAATTAAAAGAAAAAAACAGAAGGCTAGGGAAATAACTCTGATAGAACGCTTCCCTCGCATGTACATGTCCTGGATTCAAACCCTAGAACTGAAAAGAAAAACACAAACAAAAACCACATGGAAGCCAGGCAAGGTGACAGACATCTGCAGATCCCAGCTATTCAGAAGGCTGAGGCAGGAGGATTACAAGTTCAGTCCTAGCCTGGACAATTTAACAAGACCTTGTCTCCCAGTGAAAATTTAAAAAGGGCTGGAGATTTAGCTCAGGTGGTAGAGCACTTTGGTTCAGTTTTCAATTCTGAAGGTGAAACAATAAAATAAAACACACACATGGAAATTATACATAAAAGAGTTCTTCTGTGTTAAGAGGGGAAGAGGGAGAGCAAGGTGCTGAACATTTGTTAGGCACTAATTATGTGCCAGACTTGCACGTACATTATTTCAACCTAGCATTTATTTACTAATTTAGCAAAAATACATTGAGTGTACGGTGTTATGGTGAGAATAAAACGACACCTTTACAGACAAGGAAATGGTCTGTGAAATCTGTCCGAAATTAACAGCGAGGCCAGTGGAAAGCCAGTGGATTTAAATCCACTTAGAATTGTGAGGATCCTCTCAGTGTAGCACTGCTATGAAACTCAAATGGCTGATCTAACAGTGGTCACCAGGCTGTCAGTAGGAAGAGCAGAATCCAAAAGATTATGCATCCTAGTTCCAGAAGTCCAGAGGGTGGGAGTTCATCGGTGCCTCCCATGGCTGATTCCACACCAACACACCCAGGATGACGCAGAACTTGCCTGGGGACTGCATTGCTCATCTCTAGCCTAAGCAGATGGTGTCTCCCTTCCAAAGCAGGCTTGGCGTTCCCTGGCTCCTGCTAGCTTGGTCGGGTGTGTTCTCTCCAGTTCTTTGAGTCCCTGTGAGTTTTTAAGCTGTGCCAGTGGTCGTCTAACTAAAGGCTCCTTTTATAGTGCTTGATTTCACATCTTCTGTGAGATTCAAGGTAGCTTAAGAGTGTTTTTCTGTCAGTAGAACAGTGGTGTTCCCTGCATATTAAAGGGCAGCGCTGAACACAGAAGGCTGGAACTCCTCGTTACATGCAAAACATTTTCAGTGGAATCACTTGGCACCCACAGAAACATCAGATGGAGATTTGGAAGCCTCACAGCACTACATTTCAGAAACGTTATTAAACATTCAGCAAAATCTTCCTGAAACACTGAGCCCAAACCAGAGAGGAAACTTTTCTCATCTTGCAAAAAGGTGCTTGGTTCTTTGAATTCTGCTGAGGAATGGGGCAAAGAGAATTTGAATTGTAGGGAGACAAATAGATGCATGTGGTCCAGTAGAGGAATGGAGGCCTGTATTAAAAATAGAAATTGTTGGACTTAAAAATGTGGTTAGTGGGACAGGAAAGTGGGCGCATGGTGAGATTAGTGATGCAGAATCCAGTACTGAAGGCGGCCAGGGCTCCCCTTCTGCTTTCTGCAGTGTATGTGTGTGTATTTAAATTTCCTTCTTGTCATTCTTTCCACCCAGCTTCTGAGTTGGTTTTCTAATAAATGGCCAAGACTGTCATTTCAATGAGGTATCTCACAGATTGTGAGATTCATGTTGGTGTCTAATTTCAGAGGATGCTTTCCTTGTCACCTTTCCTGTCCCCATTTTTCAGTATTTGTCTTTCCTCACGGAGACTTGTGTTCTAATTTTCACCATCTTCTCATTGATCTTTCATCTTAGGATCTGCATCCGGTATCTTAATTCCTGAAAGTAATATATGTACTGATTTATTCATTCAAGTATCATGTTTGGTACTTTATGCCACATTATCTAAGGAACATAAAGCAATGAAATGCAAACTTCTTGTCCTCACAGAGCTTACAGTTTAATTGGAAAGTAGACCCGTGCTGAGGCCACACTGTTAGGCCGAGGTACGCAGAAAGTATGGAGAGGCAGTGGACTCTTGTGTGGTGGATGCGTCCCAGGGAGCACTTGAGAAAGGAGAACGGCTGGGAGGGTCTGGTGGCAAGGGGTGGCCTGGGGACCCATGGCTGCAGTCCAGCGAGGGTTGCTGTGTGTGCATTTCTTCCCCATGCCACCCCTCAAACACTGCCCTTTTTTCTCCTTTATATTCTGTCCTTAAGAAATGTCCCTCTCCCAGTCTGTACACCTTTCCTTCACCTTCAAACTCGGCTTGCCACAGTGCCTCTCTTTTGAGCATTCTGAATTGACTCTGCCTGGTTCTGTGGCTTGAGTTCAGAACTAAAGGACACTTTTGTCTTTGTCTCTTATTTAAAGAAAAAATGGGTAAGTGTAGCCTAAAATACACTGTCTGAATTAAAAACAAGAGTGATTTGGAGGATAAATACATATGCTTTGCAGAAAACTTCCTCATTACTGATTTTTAGAAGGTTGCAGATATAGTAATGATTTTTCCATGTTGCTGTTTACAACTGTAAGGATGAAGAAGTGGTCTGTTAAACACTGAACTCTGACAGTGTAGGTTAACGAAGGGGTTCAGGTTCTACGACACTTTTTAGAAACCAACGTTATTTTTCTGAGCCATTTTAGGTTCACCACAAAATAAATCAGAAGAAGAGTTCCTGTATATCTCCAGTCCCCACACAACGATAACCTGTTGCTATTCCAAACCACAGTGACACTTTGTTACAATCAAATCTACAGTGATACATCATCATTACCCAGAGTACATACTTGACACAAGGTCACTCGATGTTGAATATTCTATGGGCTTGGACAAATGTATGATAGACATCCGCCTGTAGAAATATGTAATTTAGGATATCCACCATTGAAACAGTAGTATATAGTAGTAGTAGTATCATGTAGTTTTTTTTTTTTTTTTAACTTTAAAAATGTCCTGTAGCTTTGTTACAAGGTGTATGAAAGTATTTATTGATGTCAGGAGTTGGGAGGGAAATTCGACCGATTATCGAAACGTAAACAGTGCTAAATTAAGGTAACATTCTTGGATGTTACTAGCAAGGTGTTGGTTTATAAATCTCCTCACCTTTCAGGAGCATCTCTTTTGTGTACAATGAGAGAAGCTGTTACTTGGTATTTGCTTAATGGGCCTGTGTGTTGTAAGGCTCGTTCAGGACCTTTCCTCCGATTTCCTATCTACCTTTCAAAAACAGAAAATTCAGGATCCGTGCAACATCTTTTGAGCACTGACTGTGCCACACACTGCACTACATGCTGGAGATGTATGTGTGAGGTGTATGTGTGAGACACGTGAGTGTCTCCAGGACCTCAGGTCTGGCAAGACGAGCAGTACAGGAAGGGGGTGTGCCCTTAGAGAACACGGTGTCTGTGAGTTGCAGCCACCAGGCACTGAAAATTGTGCTGAGGGGGGGCAGCGGTGTGGGGCAGCCAGACAAACTTTGTAAGACTCGTGACTCTAGGCTAATCTGAGGTGACCTGCTATTTAACAGCAGTGATAATACCTAGTTCGTCTGCCTTAATGGCGCTTGAACCGTTGTGTGGTTAACAGGGCATGTGTTTGGGGGTGATATGTGGTTGAATAGAGAAAAAAGAAAGTCATTGGAGACCTGGGAAAGCTAGATTTCTCATGTGGAATCCAGCTGTTAGAACCAAAAGGAGCCAGCACCCCTCCTGCCCACCCCCTCCACGTTGTGAGGGAGCCTCTAGGTTTCTTAGATTCTGGTTGGATACATTACACAGCAGCACACCTGCCCCTGGAAGCTTGGAGAGGCTCAGAAACTTGCTTAGGGCTTTTTATCAAAGCATGTGAAAAGCTCTGGGCTTTGCTTTTCAGTATTTGTGGGATTAAGTTTGACTTTGTGCTCTCAAATAAGGTATTTACCTTTTCTGAACTCAATTTTGTCTTCTTTAAAATGGAAATAAAGAACAGAAGACTTTAGCTCAGTGGCATAAGCACCTGCCTGACAAGCATGAGGTTGTGAGTTTGATCACTGGTACAAAAAAAAAGGAAATAAATAAGCTGGGTGTGGTGGCGTGTGCCTGTAATCCCAGCACTCTGGAAGGCTGAGGCAGGAGAATCTCACATTCAAACCCAGTCTAAGCAACTGAGACTCTGTTTCAAAAAAAGGGCTGAGGATATAGCTCAGTATGAAAGCCCTAAGTGTAATCTTCTGAACCACAATAAACAAACAAATAAAAAGTAAAAATCTATATCTAATGGAATCATTCTGCAGATCTTATTGGACAGTATGTAAAATGCCTGTGATGTTATTGGACTTGGAATAACTACATCATGTTACTTAAAAAGGAGACAGGCTCTTAAATTGTAGTTCTTAAATTCATAGTTTCCTTATATTTTGATCTTTTCATAGTTTTAATCTATTTTTCTCCATCAGTGGAACAAAATGTATTTTGAATGTTTTTCAGATTCCTGTATATACATAAAACATTTACAAACCATGGTTGGTTTCTCCATCAGGCCTTCAGCTCAGATGTTTAGAGAGTGGGGCAGGGGATTAGGGTGTGGCGGACTGTAGGGGAAGTGGGCATGGCCTGTTTATTACAAAACCAGGATGCTGGAGCAGAGCAGTTCTAGATCCCATCCCAAAGCTGTGTGTACTTTTCCCTGAGAACCTGAGCAAGTTTTCCACAGGACAGCACCGAGCTGACACCATCTTGGGGAGGAAAAATGCTAACGATGAGGAACCCTTGTTCCTTCATGGTGGCCTGCTCTCAGCTGTACAGTACTTGTTTTTTTGCTCAGACTTGCTCTGCAGTCCTTGTTTCTTCTCCTACCTTTAGTAAGTATAAACCTTGCTACCATTTGCGCTTGTCTTGACCAATTCTTTGCTCAAGACAGAACCTAGAAACCACCTCTAAAAGGAGACTGTAGTATGCACCACAAAACCCTGTAACAAGGTGGTATTTTGTACACTATTTCAATTCTTTCAGGAATAGCCTCATTATCCAGGTATCTCTTCTGTCTCAGTTTATTTCACATCCAACACTTTCAGTTGCTTTTTGTAACTATTATATTTTCTTTGGGGAGAGACAGTACTGGAAATCGAACTCAGGACCGTGCACTTCCCAACCAGGCACTTGAGCCGCTGAGCTACATCTCCTTTCCTATATTTTCTAATTAGCAAAATTTTTCGAAAATGATTTATACTGTGGCATGACATTTTGCTACCACATATTCAAAATAGAGTAAGCCTTCAAACATGTAATTCTGAGATCAACAAAGGAAGTTTTTAGAAACCATTTTTTTCTGTGGGCTGAGTAACGTACTTGTGCATTTTATTCATAGCTGATTGCTTAGAAAACAATTACATGTTTCTTGTCTTGTCTGTACTTCTGGCACCACGTGTTTCTATAGCAGTGACCTTAGTCGAGATTGTAGCCCCCAAAATAGGTCTCTCTCTCTTTTTTTTTTTTTTGGTATCGAGAATTGAATTCACAACCACACGCTTGCAAGGCAGGCACTTATGCCGCTGAACTAAATCACCGGCCTTGTATAGGTCTCATTTTCTAAGCACAGCTGAAAAATGATTTTCAGTATCATTGATCAACCCCCCCCCTGTAAGTTAGTACAAGTTGTACCTCATTCTAAAAACCATTAATGCTGATATTAGATAGTCTTTCCATCCACTGTCTCTTATTCTGTGCCTGGGAAGATGAGTGTTAGTTTTCCAAAGTGAGCAAGCAAGCTGGGCTGCCTGTCTTTCCAAGAATGCTGCCTGTTTGAGAACACTCTCCCAAATTCACACTATGACATCAGATCCTTGTTTTCTTTGGTGGGGCATTTTTTTTCCTATTATTACTTATTTGAGACAAGGTCTGGCTGTGTTGCTCACTCTGGTCTTGAACCTATGGGCTCCATCAATCATCCTGCCTCAGCCTTTCAGTGGACTGTAGGCATGGCCACCACACCTAGGCATTTTTTTTTTAAAGAAAACAATTATATTATGGATAAAGTCACCAATGTTTACCGATGTGTAATCAGAATGGGTTTTAGCTCATATTTTTTTCTTGGCAAAATAATTTGTATTTTTCTTTCCTTTGGACTAGGAAAATTAAAGGCATCCTATATGAGGTCCTTCAGGTGAAGAGAAATATCTGGAATTTCTCGTGTAGGAATTGTTATAGACCCAAAAAAATACACGCTAAAATTGACAGGGTTCTTTCAAAGACAAATGTTAGTCCCTTGAAAGACAGAGGTGCTGATGGAAGACTGGTGCTTTGAAAACCATGCATTGCCCTAAGTGACGACTCCCAGCCGTTTTCTGTGGATGGTGGGAGTGGATGCATCCTGTTGCAACAGTGGGAAGTGCTGCTTTGACGACTGAGAAGTGGTTGATGCTTTTGTGGGTATTTTGTTCAATTGGAGGCCTGAGTTCTGCCAAGTGACAAACTGATGTTTGGTGCATCAGTATCAGGGGTTAGGACAGAGCAAAATGAAATAGCACTCTGGACCCAAGGTGCACATACAGTGTTGAACACTGTTTTTGGTACTGATACAAACCAGGGGACATCTGGTCAAGCTCAGAGAGTTGAAAGACTAATTGGCAAATCATCTAGGACTCAGCTTTTAAAACTAATTTTGCAGACTGGCTTAATCAGAAAAAGAACCTACTGACCAACGTGTTAAAAAAGCCAGGTGCACCACTCTCTAGAGGCTCTCACAGTTTGCCATGGTTGCTTCTTGTTTTTTCTTTGTGTTTGTCCTACCTTCATCCCTGCAGTGACAAGACAACTCAACAGTCCCGGCCTGACTTATGTTCAGCAGTGAGTCCAGCAAGACACAGCTCTTTCCAGAGTCGTGTGAATAAAAGTCATGGGCCTGACTATTGCTTGGTTCTTGTGCCTATCTTGGGATCAGCTGACATGTTCCAACAAACAGGAAGTACTTATTACCTAGGCACAGTCCATGATCCACTCCTGGAGCTGGCTGGAAATCAGGGAGGGGCACAGTAGAGGTGAGCACATGGGAAATAGTTACGAGAAGTCATGGAGTAGACACAGAGCATCAGGAACAGCTGAGCTCCATCATTGCAGTCAGGACTGATCCAAGAGGAAAAATAAAATGACACAAAATAACAATATCTATATATATAACATGTCATTACATGTGCTGTAGGTTTTGAGAGGAGGCCATGAGCGAGGACTGGAGTCATTGAGACTGTAAATCTTGGTAGAGCAGATGGTTATCGATTTGGCCTTTGAAGAGGGTTATGGTTCTTGGTTTGGCTTTCCCTGAAGCTGATGAGGAAATGCCTGGTGCCAGAACTAATGATGTCCCCCCAGCCTGTGTTCCTCTAGTAGAACAGTGCAGCACTACATAACAGACCTAGCCCTCAAGGCTGACACAGGAATCCAGACACTAAGCTTTTGGCTTACAGAAAGAACCCACATTCTATTCTGAAAAGCTGGAGAGTTATCCAACAACAGTACATAAATAAGTAAGTGGCATATAGTACAAATGCATGTGGAAATGGTTTCTAACCATCAAGTCGTGTTTACATTTCAGTAAACAGTTACTGAGCAGCTGCTCATTGAAATACTTTAGATGTTTTAAATGAGATAAACTAAGCTATGAGATTGTTTATAGCATGAACTCAGCCATCTGTAGATGACTTAGAACACAAAAGCCTTAAAGAAAATACATCAAAAAGATATGTGGTTGCCTCTGTTCTTTATACTTACCTGTATTTTCAAAACCAAAGAAAGCTGCACAGCTATGAACTGGCTAAATCAAGAGATTGCGTTTGAAACATGAGGCACCAGGCTTCTGTAGGAATGGGACGTCAAGTGCCACCATTCTGGACGTCAAGGCAGTAGTCCCAGGGGCCTTGAGCTCCCAACAAGACCGTGTCCATGTCTGCACAGATGGGAGCAGGGCAAGTTCTGCTGGTGTGGAAACTTACCTGTCCTTCCAGGTCACCAGAAGTCTGCCTCCTCGGCGTGGGTCTAGTCGTTGCTTTCCACCTGGAGGTTCCTCAGACCATCTTTCCTTGGCCGTCGTGTACACCTTCCTGTCCGCCTCTCCCCTCTAGTGAGACACTGGCTCCTGAGCCCATTCCTTTCTCTACTGTATTTGCTTTTGGCAAAACCTCAGGCCCCTTTCTGCCAGAGCCCGACTTCTTCATTGACCTTCTCTAACTTGAAATTACACCAGGATCACCTTTCGTAGTTTGCAGCGCACTCTTTCATATCTCACTCAGTACCTTGTGATACAGCTGGATGACATCATAGTCCCTATTTAAAAGTGGGAAGAGAAAGTTCAAAGCTTTTAACGTGCCCAGAAGTTGGAAACTCAGGTCTGCTCACTCTGGATTCACTTTGCTTTCTGTGGCCTCAGTGATGCTTCACCCCTGAGATTGCACAGCCAGAATCAACAGGAGTATCTGATCTTTCACTGAGAATCACTTACACCTGCTCACTTATTTCTTAAGTCTTGCCTGTCTTTAGCTAAGGGCTGTGTGGCACAGCCTGTAAGACTAGCAGTGAGGATGGCTGAGGTGGGAGGACTGCAAGTTCGAGCCCAGGCTGAGCACTTAGCAAGACCCTGTCTTAAGATGTAAAAAAATAATAGGGGATGGACATGTAGCTCAGCAGTAGAGTGCTCCTGCTTCCGTCCCCAGTATAGTTTCCCCGCCAAACAAAGACTTCAGCCATCTGAATACAACTTTTCAGGGTCAATTCAACTACACATTTCAAGTTCCTTAGCTTCCTTCCCTCCTGTAGCTTTTTTTTTTTTTAATGCTGAAGTGTAAGCCCAATACCTTTCACAGATGTCATCATTAGTAGGATTCTGTAATTTTAAGTGTTTTATACTTTATGATTGAAACATTAGTCTGATCAGTATCTAAGTTTGGCACGTTTCTTTCTCCTTATACAATAAATTCTCAGAAAGTGACAGGTGTGTTTTCTATTTTTAGGAATCTATTTTTCTTCTAAGGAGAAGTTCAATAAGTGCAGAGAGACTGACCAGCCAACCCCAAGGAAATAAACTAATCCTTCCTTGAGGCACATTTTCATAGCATTTCTGGAAATAATTATGAGATTAAATTTTCCTGAAAATTACTGAAACATCTGTTTCTTCAAAATTAAATTGGAAATATTAATGCCTTGGACATCCTTATCCCGCAAAATCATTTACCATTCCGGGACCCTCAGCTGCGGGACTTCCTTTCCTCGAGGTTGTGCTTCATAGCTGCACTCCCCAGGAAGCTTCTGTTTGCACAGTGCATGGTCACTTCAGACCAGCAGCTGCCGGCCGCTTTGTTGCCAGCGTTTCCAAGTGCAGACCTTTACCAGAATCTTCCCTCCTCTGAAGAGTGTGTGTGAACTGAGTGGTGGTGTAAGACTGCAGTCCCAGCTACGCCAGAGACTGAGGCAAAAGGGTCAGCTGGAGCCCAGTAACCAGGCAGCATAGGACAAGATTACCCAGCAGTCCTTTAGCCTATCAGATTACCCAGACTGCAGGGCAGGAACTGCCTCTCTCTTCCTATGTATCTCAGACCCCAGCACTCCCAGTGGGCATCAGGAATTGTATCTTCAAGAAAAAGTAAGATAGGAAATAAAGTATCCATCGTTGCTAAGAGTTCACCATGAAACTGGCCCTTGCAGAGAGGACAACAGGATTAGAGGTTTAGAGGAAATGTTTTTATCACTGGCCCAGGAACTTAGGTAGGCCCTATCCTGACTCGTACAAGGAAGGAAGCGCTTTGCTTTGCACTGGGAAATGTTCTGCCTCTGTCCTTCCCTACTCCCACCCCAGCCCAGCTGAGGTAAGAGGAGGGCTTTTCCTGCTTTCCATACATTCTTCCTTATCTGCTCTTGGAAACTGTTTTCCTCCTCAGAGTTGTCCTTGAAGCGCCCTGAACGTAATTTACAGTGCTAGTGCACCCCTGGGACCACCCTTTCTGGAAAGCACTCTTAAAGCAGTACCAAAGTAGAACAAAAAACAGCCTTTCTAATTGGGAATTATTTCTATAATGTTCATTGGATAAATACATAATCATTACCCATTGCCTTAGGCTGCCCATGTGCATGATAACCTGTGTTGTAAGACTGAACTTTACCATACAGTGGTAGATTTTTTTTTTCACTTTTTCCGAATTACACATTTGGCTCTTTTAAAAACAAATGTTACCTTCGGCCCATAAAATCATATGCTTGCGCTTCTGGTTTCAGTTGTTTCTCAGTTGCATTTTAACCACAGTGTTGGTCACTGTGAAGACGCTGCTTTGCAGAGTCATCCCTGCAGTTTCACAGCACAGTGCTCACTGTAGGACAGTGAAGATGGTGTGTGCAGCTTGTGAATTCATGTGTATTAATGAGCAGTTATTCAACACTTATGGTAACTTTATAATCAGACTTAAGTGAGAGAAAATGGAATCTACTGTTGCTGCTTTCAGTGAGGATTAAGTGTATTCATTGGTATTAATAGTGGCTCCACAAATCTTGGACAGGCTGAGGAAGTGGCTAGAGGGTGAGGGCTTGGGATGATCTGTCCTGATCTCTCTGGCTCTGGTCACTAGTTTGGGAACTGTATCTTTTAGCCCCTCTGCCTGAGCGCACTCTGGCCCCACAGGATCCCCATCCAGGGCACACAGACATTGTTGTTACTCACCTCACTTGAGTAACAGCAGTGGCAATGATGTGAGGCTGCAAAGGACAGATACACAAAGTTGATAAATAATAACAAGGGGCCCTAACTCACACTGGATGTGAGTGGTATACGAAAGGCTCCTGAGGACAAAGCCAAGGCCAAGGCCAGGCTGGAAGGTGTGTCACCTGAAGAGGAGCAGTGTGGGCTGGAGAGAGAGGGGAGCCACGTGGGAGCCCTGAGGCTCACTGAGAGGACAGAGCAACCCAGGACAAATTAGTGGGACAAGGGCTGTGTGCGGATCACCTAGGGATTTTTCCTAATGGCACTATTAAGTCGTTTTTTTGAGTTTAGGCATAAGCAAATAGCCATTTGTAAAACGTTTGTATTTTAAACAGCATCTACAGTTTGGAGAAGAGGGAAGAGAAAACTGTCTGATTTATCAGGGGTCATTTTTGCTGTTGAAAATAGCCCATTTATAGGAAATGTAGAGGTTGATTCATGTATCCAGAACTGTCAGAGGCTAGGCCACAGCCAGAAAAATTAATCTAAAATGAAGAGTGACTATATTTTAATATTATGAAGTGTCTTTATGTACCATAAGTGACATATAATGAAAGGATATACATTTGAGGCCAGGGATCCAGTTTATTTGTGTGAGATTGTGCTAAAATCTGCCTTTGTATATATACAGCACTGTAGTATGCTCTGATGTTTCACAACAAGGCGTGTAACAGGGCATCTATTCCTCTGTCCAGTTTATAGCTCAAACAAGCTAAGAAACATTGACATGACAGCAAAACACACCCACTCATAAATTCCTTCCTTGTAAGTGGGTGGGTTCTGGGTTTAATCATAAAGTCCTCAAGGGAAGGGAAAAAGATAAAGCATGTCTAGATAAGACTGGAGACTGCTACGTGGTGTTCAGAGGACCTTTTGTAATGGGAGAGGAGGAGAAGGGGATGCCAGTGGCCATAAGGGAACCAAGAAAGATAACCAAGGTTAGTAAATGAGTCTACTTAGGCAATTTTCGCTGGGCTGAACCTTTCCTCTGGGCCACTTAAGTTACAAGGAGGTAATGGTGTCTTCCTCCTATAGAGTTTGTCTGTTAAATAGCTGCCTAAGCTATTTCTGGTGTTACCATTCATGTTGCAGGCACACATCTCCAAGGCTATGGTGATACAGAGCATATGACTCAGGGATAATATAGGAACTCCAAATAACCCAAAGAAGAGAAAAGAAACACAACTCCCAACCTGTTAGACATCTAATACACCGAGTTCATGTTCTCTTAAAATTGAAGAATGAATTCTAGAAACAATAGAAGTTAAAGAGTAGGAAGTATTTATTGAAAGATACCTTCTAAGAGAGACAGAAAAGCATTCCAAGTGGGTGACTCCAGGGAACCCACTTCTCAAGCGAGCTTTAGAGAACAAAACCACAAGGTTTATAAGGTGGGACAAAACTATAATCAACTAATAGGATTTCAAGTGTAGTTGCTTAGGTAACATCGATCCAGAGGGGAACCACAAGGTGGGTATGAGGTGGGACAAGACTATGGTCAACTAGTTAGATTACAAGTATCATCTTAGGTACTATTGATTAGATGGGGAAGCAAGTCACTTAACAATGTACAGGGAAGGAACAAGGACTTTTTCCTGAAAGACAGGGTGGGAGATTTTGATTCCCCACCCAAGTTGATTGATGCCTGTTTAGAATATCAATCATTAATGTTCATCTCTGGGGGAACTTTATATGTGTAGTCATTTCTGTGTCTGGAGACCTGCCCTTCAACAATTTCACCTCCAGCCACAGTTTTCTTTAGCACTGACCTTTTCTGAAGGGCTAGCCCTGTCTGACTGCCTATGAGATTTCTAAATAACATTGCTGTCCCTAGTAATAGAGGTAGACTGGTCTGCCCATGAGCTCTTAGCCCCCTCCCCCCCAAACCAGCTTCAGACCCCGCATATGTAAGTTAGTCCCTGCACTAACCGGTGAAGAACAGGGACCATGTTTTCTTGTGGTGCTGTCTGGCCACCGGCTCTGTTTCAGCTGCACCGCCAGACTCTTGCATAGAAAAGAAATACCAGTGTGACATGCATTTTGGCCTGCAGTGTTTTCTTATATTCAACAGTGAATACCGCCACTTTGCCTTTCTCTATGGAAAATGATTCATTTGGCAGCCAATTTCATAGCTGTAAACTTTAAACAACAAAGAAATTTCTTTCTTGAGTGGAAAAAATATAGTCAAAGAAGAAAGACTCTTAGAGACATTAAAGACCCATCTGATAGTGGAAGACCGGAAAATGTTAAATTATTCAGAAGTTTCCCGATAACTGGTGAATAAATGCATGATGGAACATTTAGAATTTGGCGGTCTTCTAGATAAGCCATTAAACAAATGCATTATGTAGCTTCAAAAATTTTGGGGGAAATTTTTATTATGATATATTGGATGATGGCTAAACTCAAATTCGTGCTATGAATGAAAATATAATGCCCTAATTACAGTGAATTATTTTTACTAGTGCATTTGGCTTCTTTTTGAAAAAAGATACTCTGAGGCAAATCAGACAATCCTTGAAAGTAGGATATTGGTGTGTAGGGTGTGTTACTGCCCCCCAGCAAATGCCGTATGGGTTGAGCTACATTTGGTGATCACAAACCCTTCTTCTTGGAATCACTTTCCTGCTGTTTGAGGAATGTGTGTAGTCTCCAGCCTTTATTTCCAGAGTGATTTCTCAAAGATACTGTGGTCTGGCAAAGCCGCATGGTGCTCATTAGGTTTGGAGCATGTTTTAAATAGTGACATTTGATTATATTTGTTGCCTTAAAGTATGTGAACAAAATGTTTCAAACCACAAGAACAAGAGAACTTTTTTATGTTTGATTGTGGTTAATCTGTTTTCTGTTCCCCCTGGAGAGAAAATGCTTAGAAAAAAAGTCACGTGTTTCAGGGTTCCTCCCATAAAATCAGAGGTAGACATGAAATAACAGGAAAAAGTCATTTCACTTTAGTGGCTTTCATTCTGAAGCAGTATACTTGGAAAACTTAAAATGTTCATTGCCTGAACAAGTGGCTACATACTTCTAAAGAAATTCATAAAAAATTGAATAAGAAATAATGAAGCTGTCCCTCCAGAGAAACCTCCTTCACATGACTTTTCCTCTTCTTTGGTACAATACAACCTGAAGGGCATTTAATGGCAACTAACAGAGGATTACATAGCGCTTACACCACGCAGCCTTGAATAATCAACTGCTTTCCTCTCAATTTTAGCTATCAGTTTTTTAGTTCTCTGAATGTTGTCTATACTGGTACATAATATCACTATTGTTTGGCACTTAGTTTCCTTTTCTTGCTTAGTATATTGCAAGGTACAACCTTTGCAGGAAAAAAGAGAGAAAACTATGCCTGTAACCACTCTTGAGTGGTGTGTTAAGTGAGTCTGGAGAGACAGAAACCAGCCAGAAAAATGAGTTCTAGCCAGAGTAGTCCAGACAGGCTTTAAAGAGGAAGGAAATTAAATCTGAGAACTCTGAAAACAAGTAGATTTAGGAAAGAATTGAGGAAGACTTTTAGATAAGCATCATTTGTCTTGGGTAAAAATACGGCTGAGATGTTCTCTGCAATGTTTTATTTTTGTCCTCTGAATGCTTTTCTGGGAGCATAACTCATTTCTTTTTGTACACTGTTTTTGTTTTTCTCAGCCCTCTGCTTCTAAGGTTGATGAGAATTCTTCCTGCAACTCACTGGAGATTCTGTGGGATAAAATCCCAAAGGGTCACCTGCATGTGCTTGTTGTAGACAGCATATTTTCATTGGGTCATTTACTGTGGCTTAATTGGGGAGGTCCCTGGGTGGCCCTGAGGTGCAGAGGCCCCTCCTTGCCGGGTAGACTCTGCAATGGTAGTGGCATTTCCCATTACTTGGGACAGATGAAATGGCTGATTGTAGGGAGAGATGTTCCGTGCCAGCCACCCCCCCCCACCCCGGTCGCTTTGTCCCTTCCATGATGTCGAATGCAGGCAGCGCTGTTGTCCTTGCTTCTCCCTTGTGTCACCATCTTCTATACTGCATAAATCGGATGACTCTCAGGTGAGACATGGTGCCGGGGCACAGCCATCGAATCTCAGGAGAGCAGGTTTATCTCTTAACTCCTTTCTCCTTGTGCTTCTTTCATTTTCTTATCTGTGTTCCTGGCTCCACTTCTGTCCCAGAAGCTTTCCATGCGGTAATGACATGTTTACTTCAAGACAAAGCAGTAAGACACACAGGCTACTAAACAGACACTGGATTCTCTGGAAGGACTTAGAATTTGATTCTCTTGTCTTGTGCCCTGCTACTGTCTGCTTGGTAGAGTAGTAACAGCAATTACAAGGCCTTGTAATTCCTATCTTATTTCTAACAGAGAGGCAGTAAAACTTCATTTAGAAAGCAGTTTCCAGTCCTTGTTCAGGAGAACATTATAATGCATGTAAACACTGCCTTCTGTTTATTTTAGTGAGAGAACACCCTCAGGTCAGCCAAGCGGAGAGCCCTATAGATGCAGCCTGGATCTTTCCCTGCTGAGACTGTCCTGTAATGCGTCCCAGTCCTTCCTCACCTGTGTTGATTCCAAGGCAGTGATTAAAGGAGAGAGTACATTAGAAACCTATCCGAAAAACAGCCTTACGACACGCTTTGGTCTCTGCTTCAATAAGTGTGGTTCAGTCTTTGGGTCAGTCCTACTTGTCCTGTGCTGCAGGTGGGGTACACAGAGCCTGTTCCCCCTGGCATCCTGGGAGGACCACCTCAGGTCCCCAACCCTGCTGGGCCAAAGGGGCGGATGCATTGCCCCTGGCCAGTTAGAAACATGGTGTGGATGCTGGTGCTCTTCCACTCTGATGACCAACACAACATTCACACAGCCGCACTCAGCAGAAGTAAGGGTGGTCTTGACGTTTGGTCACTTGAGCCAGTTGGCTTCTTGTGTTGTAGAGCACAAAGCTATTAGAAAAAAATATGTGTCCTGAAAACCACTGTGGCTGCCACATACTAGACCAGTGTGAGATAACTAGAAACAATACAAAATGAGGCACTGGAATGTCGTGATGAGAGGTTTTTCATTGAAAGATTACGTGAATTTTTTTTTTTTTTTAAAGATAAGCAACAGTCCATGGAAATCTTCATCTCTCCTTCCTTCCTTCTCTGGCACATCCTCCAGCCACACTGGCGACCAGCGGTGTGTTCACCTCAAGGCATATCACGTACCCAGCGGTGAGCCTTCAGTCCACAGTGCCAAGGTGGAAGTCTGCCTTTTTCCTGGGTCTACAGAAAAGCTGTCTTTCGGATCCAGCTTTCTCTGTCTTCAAATTGTACCAATTTTATTGGCTTACCTGGGTTAATTACATGATTAAGTGTTTTACCATATGGGCTTATTGTTTCAACATTTTCCACTTGTTGGCTGTTTATAGTATTTTCCATTTATTGTATTCCTGCAAAACTAACTTATTTTTAATGATTCATAAAATACATTTGTAATGTAATTGGGATTACTAATTTTTTTAAATCCTTGCCTATTTAAAGAAAAGCTATTGTGTTTTCAAAATGAGATTCTTCAAGCCTACTGTGGAAACTGTAATATACAGAAATTTTATGACTGTCTCTGTTTGAGAATCTTGATAATTTAAATGTAAATTCTGACCAGTTACAGTAACTTTGATTCCTTCTAGTGCTTGATATTTTTTTTCCCTTTTAGTAAGTCTTAAGCAGAAGAACAAGTAGGCACCAAATCCTAGAAAACAAGATGGTAGAAAGTTTACCAGCTTACAGATTCAGAGTTTTTAAGAGTATGTAGAAAATAGCAGACCTAGTTTTTTTCCCCCTTCTGCAGCTAAGGAAAGCTATTGAATGTATATATAACAGTAACTTGGTGGATTGGTTTACTGAATTCATTTATCCAATACTTATGGCCTTGCTACTGCATATCCTGTAGTAGTCTAGGTCCCAGATGATAATTAAGTGGGTGAAGACAGACAAACAGACTAGGTCCCGTGGTCATGTCTTGCATTCTAAGATGGGAGAAAGCAAAAGAAGTATATTAGATAGAGTATAGCAAGGGCTGTGAAGGAAAGTACAGCTGGAGGAGGAGGTTAGGCAGTGATGCAAACCTTTTAGAGTTTTCAGTGATAACAAACCGCCAGCTTCAGCATGTGTGCCATAGGTTCACCACCACTGGCATTAGAGTGAAATGACATTAACTAGATGGTGGGGTGAGGGGCTCCCTTGCAGTGAGGCGAGAGGTTAGGGGTGGGGTTGTTCCTGACAGGGACTAGCAGATGTGAACCTGTGAAGAAGTACCATGTGTGGGAGACTTTTGAAGCAGAGAAGACAGAATGAGGTCCAGCTAAGCAGGAGCAGAGCAGGGGCTGAGCCAAGGTAAGGACTTTCAGAGGCTTTGAGATAAAGGAGCAAAGTAATCAGATTTATGTCCATGAAAAATGACTTGGGTTGAGGGTGGAGAGCTGATAGATGGAGAGTTCAGACTCCAAGAGGCCATGCCGATCTCTGGTTGGTGGCTTGCAGCAAAAAGGCAAGGATGGTGAGTGGTTGCTTTGGGGCATGTTCTGTGCAAAGAGCCCCAAGATTGGATGCAACCTTGGATGCAGGGTGAGAGAGTGGAACTAGAATTAATGGCAGGGTTTGGGGCTGAGGCACCATGGGCATGGAGGTGCCACTCACTCAGATGCATAAGTAAAGGTAGGAATTGGTTGGAGGAAAAAGCAGAGCTCCAGATTTTTGCAAATGGTTTGCTCTTTGAGATGCTTGTTAGAGATCTAATTGGGAGGTTCTGATTACACCAATTGTGGACAAGCAGGGTTCTGTAGGATGGTGAAGGACCCTGGGGCAAGACAGGGTGGCCATGAGCCCTGTGGGAGGCAGAGTCAGTGTGGCATAATGTGATGGTGTTATGCTTCGGTGGAGATGATGACTTCACAGAGCAGGAAGAGAGATCTGGAGTGAATGAGAAGGGATGCGGTCCTACCCCACCACCTGCCACAAGAGGAAAATATTGACAGGGCTGCAAGTGAAGCATCATCCACAAGGACAATCAGGATTTAATTAGTGTGAAAAGATCAAAGAAAGGCTTGGCAGAGAGATCTGGTTTTTGCCAATGACAGATCATGACTTCTTAAAGTCCAGGGAAAGACTTGGGAGTCTGGGGCAGGCTAAGAGACATTTGAAGGCAACTAAACAGGGCTGGGGCCTAGAATCCTTGTAACAAGTGGATTACACAGGGACAGAGGATCTGATAGGATTAATCATCCTTCTTAAGACAGATTCATGAATAAACTTTTTCCTGTCAAAAGATGGTAAATACTTTAGGCTTTGCAGGTCATACCATCTCTGTCAAACTTAGATCTGCCCTTTCAGCATGAACACAACCATAGATGACACAGAAACAAATGGTCATGGCACTATCCCAATAGAACCCTGATTAAACAAGCAAGAGACAGATTTGCCCAAAGGTCATGGTCTTGCAGCCCCAAGCTAGGGAGGCATTTTTAGTTGGTTGGAAGGAAGAGGAAGCTTTTGAGACCCCTAGTTCCGGCTTCATCCTGATCAGGTATCTGTCATCCTCTGGGAGAAGCAGGCCTTTCCATCCCTCCTCTCAGTGCAGGAGCCTTTGGAAATTTGGCTTCATGAAGGAGACAGGTAATCTCAGGCCTACAGTCAGGAACTTCCCCTCATCTCCACAGCAGACAGACAAGAGGAAATAGAGTTCAGATGTGAAACAGGAGGCAGTGAAGTTACATAAAAGAAAACTGCCTGGCATTAATGATGGTAAAATACATGAAATAACTAGGAAGATTTGACGGATATTGGGAGTTTTAATGAATAAAAGCAGTTTCCTTCTTTGAGCTGGACCACAGAATCTCAGTCTGTTTCAGGCCCTGGGTGTTTTCATGTGAATGTGCCATTTTCTTAACTCAGTGAAAAGTAGATCTGTCAGGCACTCAGAAATGCAATTTGAGAATGTAATGTTCTCACACTGTAGCTGCGTGTGTCCGAAATCAGCCCTGGCCTGGACAGTTACGGTGAGGGAGTGCATTACTCTGCAGTGGCCAAGGAGCAGGGTCATGATCATACAGAATTAGGCCTGTGAGAAATAAGCAGATTTGGGGTTCAGGGACTGTGGGATGCAGGTGGTGACCTGGGCATTCAAACAAGAAAGCAGAGTAGATATTAAACAAATGCCTATGAAATCTCTCACAGAGAAAAAAAAAAATTCACTTCTTTTAATGTCAGCACTTTAGTGGGATCTACTTGAAGACCCATTTTCTGAGACAGACTCTTAGTAGGGGCAGAGGGAGCAGCCTTGGTGGCCAGACCAACTTCAGGCGGACCATGGGTAAAGCAGAGACTGCGTGCTGGGCAGTCCCAGGAGTTTCACCCACCTCTTCCAAGAGTGAACTTGGGCCTCGGGCTCATTGTTAAAGCATTGTGTTAGGTGATCTCAAGAGGGCTCTCCAGATGTAAAGCTTCTGTATGTCCTACAGCACTACATGTCATAAAATATTATGGAAATTACAGTTATGGTGACAAACTTAAAAACACTGCTGCTGAACAAGCATAGATTGTCTTGTTTAGTTGATAGGGCTTAACCACATAAGGTACTTAGAGATGTTAAACAATTTTTTTTCAAAGTGAAACATGAATAAAATTGCATATTTTTTCCAAATCATTGTTGCTCTTCTTATAACAGTTGGTTACTTTTTGGTGCAATAATTTTCGCCTAGATCTTACCAGGCTTGACCATCCTTGCTGTGTGTCTACAAAGAATATTAAACTGCCTTCCCTTTCATCTCACTGCAACTGCGTCTGCGCCATCACAGCTGCACTTCATTTCCACTTTGCATTAGGGAATACAAAACTGAGCTGTGTTTAAGCAACTTAGTGTCAATCAGAGTCCAGAATCCATTTTCCCAGGCTGAGAAGAAGGTAAATAAATTGGATCTAGTGAGAAGTCTGAATATTAGGATGTGGCCGTCATTGTCTCTTTCATCAGAACTCCATGAAGAGGGCAGGCAATCCCCGAGGCCCTGCACGGGTCACTGGGCGCGCTGCCCTATTACACAACATCAGCATAATCCACTCTCTGGGTCCTTTGTGGGGCAGCGGGTCTTGGCCAGCCTGTTCTCCTGCCCCAGCTGCTGCCATGCCAGCTGATTCTGCTGCTCCTTAGCCTCTTTCATGCCTGATTCCCATGAACAGGACCCGGCTTCGGTAAACAAGCTGACCCTTCTGCAGGCAGAATCTCAATTTGTAGTTAGTCCCAGGCTGCCCAGTCCAAGGTGCTTTTCTTCCTATAGAAAGAGCATTTGATTGTCATCAAGGATTCTGGGGTGCTAAAACTGCCTGGTGCTACCAAGGGAGATGCTAGAGGAGGGAATTTCCCAGGATGCAATGCTGTCATCACACTTCCATGATTTGGAGTTTTTATTAGGTCAAATACATATTTTCTTTCAATATTGTAAAATTAATTTAAAAATCCAGTGAGCTTCATGTAAAGGATTGTGTTTCAATAAATGTAATAATTCAAAACACCTGTTTAACTCATGGCTTTGGATTCTAATCAAAGAGCTATTACTCCTTTGCTTGAGACATCTGATTTTTCTTTTGCTTTTTCTTAAAAAAATAAAAAGACAACACTCCCATTTGATTGAAACTTGATTCTTCTTAGTAATACTGCCAGTTTTAATTAAGTTTGAAAATTGAAATACAGCTGGATATTGGATGAAACTCAGCATAATAATTTCCTTCTCATGTTCTGCATGTTCTGAAACAAGGATTGTGAATTTGTGCAGATGAAGACATTACAATGACTTTAATTGTTTGTGCTTTTATAAAGTAAAAAGCTTTCTAGTTTTGTCGGTGTGCATAAAAATCCTTTTATGCATATTGAAGGGAAAAATCACTAAAAGTATTCAGTTTTAAGCTAGTTATTTTTAATTAGCTATAACAAATTATGTGAGGATTTTTATTTTTAATTGGCTAATGACAACTGTTTTGGGTGATATGATGTCATGTTTCAATATATGTATGCTTTGAAATGATCAAAGAAGAGAATAATATATCCACACTTCAAATATTTGCTTGTATGGTGAGAACATTTAAAATCCTCCCATTTATCTGTTTTGAAATACACATTGGTATTCACCGTACCCATCTTACTGTCTAATTCCTCCTTATTGCAACTTTGTTTGACCAATGTCTCTCCTTATTGGTTTGGTTTTAATTAAGAAAATTAGAGACATTTTGTGTTATGAAAAATTGTGCTCTAATTTTAAGGAAAGTTTAGAGTTTGATATTCTGTGAATTGTGCATGCTGTGTTGTTACTAGTTTGCATTCTTGAATGTAATGACCCACTTTTTCCATCAGCTCATTTCCAACTCAATTTAAACCTGAAAAATATGAATACCTTTAAGAATTTGTGTACTTAAAAAAAAAAAACCTTGATCCTCCTTCTTTGTAGTACTGTGGATTGAACCAGGGATACTGTATCACTAAGCTATAGCCAGCTCCAACCCTTTTTATCTTTGGTTTGAAGATAAGGTCTCTCTAAGTTGCCCCAGTTAGCCTCAAGCTTTCTGTCCTACCTCAGTCTCATGAGTAGCAGAAGTTATAGGTTGTACCATACAGGAGTGGTTCCTTCTCCCTACTAAAGGGAGAAGTTGAAAGAGATACATTTTTATGCTACAAAATTAATTAAAATGTTTATTTCAAGTTTCCTTTGGTTTTAAGTCTAAAGTAAAAGGTATTTTTGGCAAGTTCAACTGATGTTTCTCTGCACACTGTTTTGTTTGATTATGCAATAACATGGTAAAGATCGGCAATCACTGAAAATTTTTTTGGTACTGTTTCTTGGCTTCCTTGGGTTCCTTCTAATCTATAGTTGCCTTTTATTGTCTGATTCATATGCTTTAAATTTTGTCTGTGATATCTTTATTTGTTAGATGTACTATATTTAAGATTTCTTTTTTTCTCATCTCCTGACCACAGGTTGTCCATGAGTACCTATTTTTCCTGTCGGTACAATCAAGGGACTTTGAAGGTTTGCACTGGTGCCTCTGGCCGTGGCCTCCAGAACAGTCTTTCAGGCTAAATTCCTGTGGCCATGTTAAACAGGCACACCTTAAAACTGGTGTTAAGAAAAATAATTTTTTAAAAATTTGAGGACTACAAGCTATTTATTACTACTAGAAGAATTGTAACATAAGTATAATTTTTAGTCTTTTAGAAAAATTATAACAAATACTTCCAGGCACCATCAGTGTCAGACCTCCTTTTCTGAACTTCAGGGTCTTCCATACTTTTTATAAGACAAAAGTCAATACATTATTTCAGAGAAACCCTTTCATTTGAACATAGAGTAACAACAGAAAAGCGTTTCTGTTACCTCCCTGGCAAAAATTGATCCTTGTTTACTGGAGGAGTGGTAACATAATTTCCATTCAAAATACTGATTATCAGAACTACTTAAATGGAATCAGAGCAAATAGAAAAGAAGAAGAAAGAAGGAAGGAAGGAATTCTGTTGGATTCTTCCCACCCCTTCCTTTTGGTTTCATACTTAAGTAGCAATTCTTAAGCTATACTTTAAGAATAATTGAAGACAAAAGGCCAGGAAGACAAATCAGTGGAGGTAGGCAAAGATTTACTGAGAGATGCTATAAATTTAAGTCAGATTAACCAAAGAATATGAACATAATTACATAGAAACTTAAGAAGACATAAAAAGAGATTTTTTTTTCCTCTCCAAACTGGTGTTTATTGATTTGGAGTAGGGAGACCCCAGAAGAAAGGGAGCCCAACCATGACAGTGAGAAACAGAAGTAGATTCCCTCATCCCACTCCCAAGAAGGGCTTTCTGTGCAGGGATGCGGCCCAGTTCCTCTCTGGGATGCCCACCCGGGGTGGCCCATGTGCTCGTCCTCCTCTCCCCCAGTCCCACTGGCCCATCATCCCGCAGAACCATGGGTCAGGGTATGTGGAAGCTGAAAGGAGCCAGAACCCCATCATGCTCTCCCTGCATCTTCTCTTCTGACTTTGTCTACATCTCATAGTAAGTTCCTAATAGTTCATGATAAATTGAAATACAAAGTTCACTGCAGAAAATGATTGTAACTGCCCACTCAAAGAGGAAGTTGTAACTGCTTTTCCAGCCTTTGGTTTTCATTGTGTATACGGTAATATCAACAGTGTAAATTCACACTTAAAAACCCTTTATTTGATTCAATTTTCATACAGTGGTTTCCTTTCCTTTTGTTTATGGGGGCTAGAGTCTGCCTGGAATGTGAGCACTGTGCCTTTATAAAGGAAACTGCACATGCAGATTCAGTATTGTGTATCTTTGGACAACTTGATGGACATTTGAAATGGAACATAAACCTAGCTGGATCAGCTAAAATACCCTATGGTTTCTCTATTCTTTTTTGCCAATAAAATTGAAAATAAAAACATCATACATTCCCCCCACCAAAAAAAAAGATTGTTCAAAGAAAGGGAACAATGTGATTGAGACAAGTAGACTTCATTTCATGATGTACTTTTAATGTCCTTAATTTTATACAGGATTTTTTAAAAAATTGAAACTGAATGCTTTCTGTTTTAATTACATTCATTCATTCTAACCAAGTACAATCAACCAAAAAGATGAAATCTGCTTCAAATTAGTATTCAAAATGCAGCCCCCATGGATCCCCACTGGGAATCAGTATTGTAAATTCCACAATAGTCTTAGCTTCCAGGGGACTGCTCAGAAGGGGGGAAATAGGTATACACTGATGGAATTGCAAGGCAAAGGATCTCCAAAGGGCAAGTTTTCCAGAGATGGCATTCAGTTACAGATCCATTACAGAGCTATCTTCACACTTATTTTCAAATTATCCATTAAGATTCATTCTATGAATCAGAAAATATCTGTTCTAAAGTACACCTGTGAGATCCTTTTAGTGTGTAAGTATTGCTCATCCTGCAGCTTAAGTGTGTATCAAGAAGAAATGTTGAATAAACGCATTCTGTGGGATTTTTATGGCAGCGTGCACTCTACATCTCAGGTACCTTGGTGATAATGGGCTGCATTGTGGGTTTTGTTTTGGTGTAGGGTTGCTGCAACCTTTTAGTCACTGCACTTGACCTCTGTGTTGCCTGACAACCTGGATGTCTCCATTTGGTCATCGAGCCTCATGGGCTGAGAAAGTCCACACCTTGTGCACTGGGGCATGAGAAAGGCTGATTTTCTTGGTATTAACAGGTCTACGAATAGAGTCCTTTAGGCGTGAACTATTCAAAGTCTGTAATGGTTATTGGGCAGATTAATAATAGTCCAAAGCCTACTCCACTGAGTGGTAGCAGATTGTGTTACTTTAAGTGTGATTCACTCTTTTGGTTTTAATTTCTTAATTTTTGAGTCATCTCTCTTTTTGCTGTTAAATTCTTGCAAATCACAGATAAAATCAATGATGAGGATGAAGTTCAAGACCAAGGCACTTGTCAAATTTATGCATGGTTTCACCTGCTGATGCATGCTCACTGGCCAAAGCAAACCTCACAGCCAAAACCAGAGTCCTTGTGAGGGGAGTCTATGCAATAGTGTGGCTACCAGGAGATGAGTGCTTGGTACTGTTAATACACCCCAGCTTTTATTCTGAGAATCTGTTTTAGACCAAAAGTATAGATCTCTATGTCCTATCCTGGGTTGTAAATTTGGGGAAGTAACAGTGTGGCTTTCTCTTAACAGTTGTGCCTCTGCAGTGAAGAGGGGAATGTAAGCTAAATGAGTTGTGGTATCAGCAAGAGGCAGCGGTATTTCACTGAGCAGTCTGCAGAGAACGTTCTTTGTTCTCTCCTGTTTATTCCCTCTGTAAGAATCATTTGCATTCTCCTTTGTGGTACCCTCTGTCTGGAGAGTCTCGCCATTTTCTTTTTCCATTCTGAATCCCTTTAATTAAAATCGGGTTGAGGATGTAGCTTAGTGGTATAATACTTGCATAGCATTCACAAAGACCTGGGTTTGGTCCCCAGCATTGTAAAAAAAAAATTTTTTTTTCAATTAAAATTGGTTTGCAGATTACTTCTAAATGTTTTTAGCCTCAGAATCACATTTGGACTATATATTAGATATCTCAACATAAATCCATGCACAATCCAAAATACTACATCTTCCATCAATTTCTCCTCCTGCATTTTCTTCTAGACAGTGGCACTGTCTTCTCAAAGGTGTGAGACCTTTGAAGCATTCCGAGCCCCTCCCCTCCCTTTCTCTTCCCTTCCTGTCCTGTGCTCCAAGGCCCAGGCCTGAACTGTGATTTCTTATTCCAGTTTGACCTCCTTCAAACTCCATTCTACACTGAGCCCACTCCTCAGAGGTCCTTGCCCTGTAACATCATATAACCCCTGGCTGACAGCTTTTCATGTTTCCTCAGAACCACAGAGCAGAAACCAGCCTGTTCCACCTGGCACTCCATGAAGCCTCATCAGTTCAGCACCTTGAAATTCTTCACTGTCTTTTCCCTTGTCTAGTAATGTGTTCTATTCAAACCTAAGTCTTTTCCCTCATTTAGTGACTCCCTCCAAAATATCCTCCTCCAAAGTCCTTCCCTCTGAATAATGTTACAGCATTTCATACTATTAGCACCTTTTTATTAGTAGACTTGTTAAAATTAATTTTT